GTCGACCCATTCCCCCCCGTTCTCCCCGATGGTAGAGCCCACGGCGGGAAACCCCGCGCCCGCCTCACACAATGCGCGCGCGGTTCGCGGCGCGGCCGCTGGCGGCGCTGCAGCGCCCGCCCCGTGGGGGTGCCCGGATGTGGCCGCGCCGGAAGAGAAGCGCGTCTCCTCAGGGCCCGCCATCTTGTGCGGCAGCGAGCAGGGCGCGGGGGGCCCGGTAGCATCCGCGCAGGATCCCGCCGACGGGGGCCCATCATGCCCGGACACCTGCAGGAGGGCTTCGGGTGCGTCGTCACCAACCGCTTCGATCAGCTCTTCGATGACGAGTCCGACCCCTTCGAGGTGCTGCGCGCGGCGGAGAGCCGGAGGAAGGAGAGCGGCGGCGGCGGCGGCGGGAGCCAAGCGGGCGGCGGGGCCCGCGGCCCGGCGGGCGCCCAGAGCGGCTCCTCGGGCGGGGCCGGCGGAGCAGGCCAGGCGGGCGGCGGCGCGGGCAGCGCGGCCAAGCAGCTGCGCAGGGAGTCGCAGAAGGAGCGCAAGAACCCGCTGCCGCCCTTCGCCGGCGGGGACCGCCGGGAGGATGGCGGGGGCCAGCCCGGAGCGCCGCTGCGGAAGGAGGGTGAGCGGGCCGGGGGGTCGGCGGGGAGGGGCGGCCCGGCCGCACGGAGAGGGCCCGGGCAGGGCCGAGCCGCACGTGGGGCCGCGCATGGCGGAGGCAAAATGGAGTCGGGCGTGCGGGGCGGCCGGAGCTGCCTCGGTGCCGGCGGGAGGGAGAGGGGATGGGAGATGGGAAATGCCGGCGGTGAAGAGGATCGTGGAGTGGCTCGTGTCGGAAGGGATCTGAAAGGCCATCCCGGTTCCATCCCTGCCACAGGGCACCTTCCACTGGCCCAGGCTGCTCCCAGCCCCGTCCAGCCTGGCCTTGGATACTGCCGGGGATCCAGGAGCAGCCACAGCTGCTCTGGGCACGCTGTACCACGGCCTTCTCACCCTCAGAGGGAACAGTTCCTGCCCAATGTCCCATCTAAACCGGCACGTGGAATCCTAGAATGGTTCGGGTTGGAAAGGCGCTTCTTGTTCACCCCCTGCCATGGGCAGGAACACCTCCCACTAGGCCAGGTTGCTCCGAGCCCCGTCCAGCCTTGTGTCTTGAACTTGACTCGTGTTTCAGGGACTCCGATGGATTTGACAGGATATCTGGAAGTTCCTGGGCTTTCCAAGATCTTTTTGGGTCATTTTCTAGGGGAACAGCATTGATAGCCATCTTGTTTTCATCTATATTTAAATAATCACTTACATGAATTCTTAGTTTCTCTAAATTTTTACGACATCTTACATGCAAAACTTCGGAAAACAAAAAAAAAAAAAAGAAATTCAAGTATAAAGAGACTGAAGAGCACGCTTTGGGAATTAGGAGGCCGGGGCCCCACATGGACAGGGAGGGATGTGGGCACATGGCGTCCCGTGCGGGCAGCAGCTCCACCGCGCCCAAACTTCAGCGCTCGGCAGGTGGGTCACAGCTCGGCTTCAAAGGAATCCTTGGGAAAAAAAACAAAACATCAGAGTGTGGTCACAGCAGGTGACGTGGGAGCAAGGGAATAACAGGTTAGCTGCAATTTTAACAAGCTTTTCACAGAGCAGGGTGCTACGTGAGAGCATCTTAGTGCTTCCTCATTTATGTTACAAAGTGGTTCTGATTCTCCACTGGTTTATGCTGCTAAAGAAAGAAATAATTTTAGTATGTTATTTGTTTTGGAAAGTGGGCGTTGTAAATGTTATTCGAAAGCACCTTGAGAAGACAAATTTAGAAACGATGTTAGAAGTGCTCTTAGCTTGTGGACCTGGTGCTCATTAAGGCCAGGAGTGTTTTCTGTCTGAGGGGTGCAGTGGTTTGCCGGGAGTCCCAGCTGGCCAGACCAGTGTCCTCTGGAAGCCTTAGCGAGGTGCAGGATTGCCCCACGAGGTAGCCTGGGACATGGCAGAGCCTTTGGCACCACAGGAGGGCTTTGGGCAGCCCGTCTTCACCTTCCGATTTTCACATCTTGTTTTCAAGAGCAGTGTGAAAAATAACTATTTTCGTGGTTTGTTATGGTAGTGAAACAGAGAAAGTCGGGGCTGCTGTTGTAGCAGTGTGGTAAACAAAGTCAATTTCCAGTTTGAAAATGTCTATTTTTGTGCGTGGCTGTTTTTGCAGTTCTGGCATCATAAAGGTGCTCGATGCCAGGGTTTGTTTCCTGTGTGAATGTATTTTAAGCTATTCCACTACTCCATAAGGCTGCAAGTGATTTGCCTGCTGAATTAGCAGTTCAAAGCTTGGTGATGCTGAGAAATAACTCGTATTTTGGGTTAGGCTTCAGCAGGAACCGGGTTTTTTCTGAGTGCAGGGCGTTGAACTCGAAATTCAAAAGCCGTGGCTGTTCCATTCCAGTTCTGCAGCATGCCTGCTCCTCTCCCTGCTTCTCCTGCTCCCACTGGAGAGTCCTTCTCCCAGTGCAGGCTGCTGGTTTAACCCCTTGTTTCCTCAGGGAGTCGGGAATGCTTAGGGAGCTCTGTGTGCCATGCAAACTTCATGTTAAACACAGCTTGGAAGGTGAGGGAGACATTGTTCATCTGGGTGTGTTGGCTTGGATATCATTACAACTGCAACTTCTGTAGCCCCACCCAAATTTGACATTGCTTGCTAGGCAGGAACTCAGTTCTTTAAAAAATAATTTAAAATCAGCTTTGAATTTAAAAGCTGGTTCGTTAATTTTGGAGCCAGTGTTTTGGCAAGAAAATGGTGTAAGAAAAGTGTTTGTCCTCATCTTTTAAAGAAGAGTAAACAAGGCCTTTCACATGAGTGGAAAAGAAAACTGTGTTAGATCTTTGAGAGGGCTTGGTAGGGAAGAGAATGCCCATGGGAGGTTTTTATTTGCAATAAAAACCCTTTTAGGAGGCCTAGGCAGGGAGAAAAGAGTGCTGGGCAGCTCGGTGGCACTGTGGACTCTTAAGCTGTTTTAAGAAGTGCACCAGAGGAGAATCTTTGTCAGGGAGTGTTGGACTGGGAGGATCCCTGTGGATGAGGACCCCAGCTAGTCACTGAGCAGTACCTGCAGGTGACACCGGTCCGGTACAGGTGGTGGCACTGCTGCCCACAAGAGTTTCCAAGAACAGAATCACAGGATCATTTAGGTTGGAAAACACCTCCAAGATCACAAGGTCCAGCTGTTAGAACAGCACAGCATTGACTGTCTTAGGGGCAGTGAGGTGATGCTCACTTCTTTTGGGTGTTTTTCAAATGAAACCCACTTGTTTTACCTGAAAAGCACCTTTCAGTGAAAAAAAATAGTAATAAAATCCTGCTTACCTTGATCTTTGTTTGAAAGTTGACCCTGTCGTTTCATTAGGGGTTACCTAAGTTTTCAGTCAAACCCAGTTTGAAATCCTGGGTAAAAAAGGGACTGAGAAGGGTCAGGTGGAAGTGGGGGTGCTCAGTTTGTGCAGCAATAAAACATCTCTTCCCACTTGTTTGGGGGTTGGTATCTGTCCCGGAGCACTCCACATTCCGTTGATGTGTCTGGCCTGATGTTTCAGGGATAAGGAGGATTGGCAGGAGGCCTGATCAGCAGCAGCAGCAGCAGCAGCAGGGCGAAGGCAAACCCATCGACAGGAGACCCGAGCGACGACCTCCCCGCGAGCGCCGCTTCGAGAAACCCGCCGAGGAGAAGGGCGAGGGAGGAGAGTTCTCTGTGGATAAGTAAGAGTTTTGTCTTGCTGAGAAACAGCTTTCCTAGCTTTGACAGGCAGGGCTGTCCTGCCTTCTGCTGCTCAGGTAAAAAAGCTGATTGAATCAAGATTGAATTCCTGCCATGCGGATGATAACAATTCTCTTTTCCATGGTTTTGTTTGCAAACTTAAGTTACAGGCTGGGAGCGATGTGCATGAACAGGTTCATAGGTGTAACGGAATTATGGTTTAAATCAAGATACCACCATATTTCTCTACATCCATGGCAAATAGCTCAGGAAGGGAAGCCAAGCATAGCTGTTTCCTGCAGGATGAGATTTGTTTGCTGTTACAGCTGTGGCTTTAATTTGCACAGCTGACTTAAAGCCAGCAAAAGTTTGTCCATGTAGGTGTTTGCACTCTTGCTGGAATGGCTTCAGGCCTGGAAGTGGTGAAGCCATCTTAGATCTCTGTGAAATTTAAACTGTCTTGAGTATTGTGAGGCAGACAGAATTTGAGTAATGTTCAAATATTAATGTTTTAATTGCCAAAGTTAAAATCCTTCTAAAAGTAAGTTGGATAAAAGTGAGTTTAGTTGAAGTTTTAGCATCAGTTAATTGTGTAAAGCAATACAAAGATTAAATTTTGGAATTAATGTCAGAAGACACAAACAACCAACAATCCCGAGTATTTGTTTCCAGATTCTAAAATCATGGAACCACAGAATGGTTTGTGTTGGAAGGGACCTTAAAGGTGATCTGGTTCCAGCCCTTACTATGGGCAGATACACCTTCCACTGTTCTAGGTTACTCCAAGCCCTTCCAACCTGGCCTGGGACACTTCCAGGGATGGGGGAGTGACTTTTTTGGAATTAGAGCCTGAACCCAGCTACAAACTAATTACCAAAGGAAAAACAAGTAAATAAAATTCTCAGAGAGGAAAAGAGCCATGAAACACGCTGTACATTTTTGGAGGCGAATCACTTGACCCAGCTTACAAACAGCAATTCCCAAAGCAAAACCAAGTAAATAAAAACCTCAGAGAGGACAAGAGCAGGAAATGCTGTGTGCTTTTGGAGCGGATCCCTGACGTGTGGCTGTTCCATGGCAGACCCATCCTGGAGCGACCCATGCGTGGACGTGGCGGCCTGGGCCGGGGCCGCGGCCGCGGGCGCGGGATGGGCCGAGGCGATGGCTTTGACTCTCGTGGCAAGCGGGAATTTGACAGACACAGCGGCAGCGATAGATCGTGAGTCTTCACCTTTTCCTGTCCCTTGTGGCTCTCCTCTACCGCTCTGCCCCCCCACCCCGTTTCAAATTGATCTTTTGAATTTCTGTGTCTGGACACTATAATGTTAACTCAGTTTTGTTAGTTCTGTTTCACATTCACATTTCAGCGGCCTAAAGCACGAGGACAAGCGCGGTGGCAGCGGATCGCACAACTGGGGAACCGTCAAAGACGAGCTAACGTTAGTATCCTGTCGCTCCTCAGAAAACCATTAGCACTATGTTAATCAGCCCTAATTATGGCTTGCAGAACATCCAGATTTAGCTGCCTTTTTGCCTTTGATCTCCATGGTTTTTGCCACGCTTCTGCAGAGTTTAAAACCCCAGCGATTTCTTGTAGCATAAGAATAGCTTCACTGTTCAGCCAGAGTTCTGGGGAAGTTTGGGAGGGAGGTCTTGTGCTCGTTTGGTAACAATTCTTGGTTAAAATGAAACTGTTCTACTTTTAGTAAATTTTGATGAGGATAAGCATGCATTTGTATTACAAAAATTCAGCTGTCCCACTGAAATCTGTTTTTAATGCCCAAATCCATTTTGTGTTGGGACAGTGGGAGCCTTTCAGGAGGGGTAGTAGGAAGCATTGGGGAAAACCATTAGTTAAGTGAAAAGCATGGAGTTTAAAAGGCACAGAGAGCACGAGTCCTTATTGAAAGAGTAAATCCACCGCAGATCTCGATTGTTAATCTTACACAGCTTTAAAGAGGGATGAAGTTGTAAAAAAGCCCCAACTCCCAACGTTATGTAATTGCAGTGAATTGGATCAGTCAGCTGTAACCGAGGAAACGCCAGAGGGAGAGGAGCATCCGCCTGCTGATTCTGAAAACAAGTGAGTACCACCCCTCTCCGTGCTCCTGAGCTGCTTCAGAGGTGCTGTTGTATTCCCTTTAACCTCTGCTATTCCCACTTCTGCTTGGCCAAACTCAGATTATCAGTAGATCATCCACAGTGCTGCTGAATGAGTCTCCTTAAAAATTTTGTGTCTGGAAATTGTTGTCTTTAAACCATTCCACAGTGTCCTGCAGGCTCTTTCAGATTTATTTATTAATAATAATTTCTAATATACTTTGTGTCTTGGGATTGCAACTTCAAATTCCAAACCCAAAAGCATCTGTGCTCAGACTAGGTAGAAAGCACCGAGCAAATGGGACAGAAGTGCCAGTGGAAGGCAACTTTTTAAACTTAATTTTCCAGAACAGCCTTGGAGGCTGTGTGACTGAACTGTAGGAGAAAGGTTGTATCTTTCATTCTCAGGCAATTTTCAAAGTTACCTGGCTCTCTTCCCATCTCATTTGGACACTGTTACAGAAAGAACCAGGCACTGGATGAATGAAAGAGTAACCAGAGAAGCAGAGGGAGCCTTACTGATACTGAGTTGATGTAAAAATACAATACAAATTTTTATGGTAGCCTAGTGTGACTAATGTTGTATTTTAATACAACATTAAAGGAGTAGGCTTTGTAGAGGACTCAAAAAATGGCAAACAGAATTTTGAAATATTTGTTCCTAATGATTCCTAATGTGTTTGCCATGGCTCGGTTGCCTTACTGAAAAGTTTCTCTATATAAAAAAGCATCTCCACATGGGAAACTTTTTAATTGTTTGGTTCTATGTGGATCTTTGCTCTCAGTGTTTCAGCAGAACTGTTGGATGTTTTACTGCAGTAGAATCTTTGGCTTGAACAAAACAATTTCTGATTACATCCCATGTCAAAAATCATTCTCTCCTGCACAGTGAGAAAAAGTTGAAATACAGTTATTTTGACATAAAACCTTTGCACTATTGTTCAAAATTAATGGCTGCCAAATGAAAACCTTTGAAATTGAGGCTTTCATGGTCTTTTTGCTGCATACACAGCATTGGTTTCCTATAAATCAGAAATTCAGTTGCATGAACACACTGAACAATGACCAGAGGCTTCCAGTATCTGGAATATGATCTGTTACTGAGCACTGTGCTTGTGTGTTTTATTTAAAAATAGCCTTTGGCACAAGGTACATGTGCTCTATCTCACAAATAAGGTGTGTGCTGTTACTTTTTCAAATTAGCTGGAAGTAAAACTTGTTTGAATATTTGTCTTTGATTCAAAAAAGGAAGCAAATTATCCAAAGCTGCTTAAATTCTGGTTTTTAAAATACTAAAAAGCTTGAAAGCTGTGGGAAGAACGAGTTCTCACTGCCTTGACTTGAATGATATGAGAGATGTATTTCAGAAAGGGGGGAAGGAGCTCCAAACAAGTCGTGCCAGAAGTTGGGCTTTCAGATTTGGAAATAAAATTGACAGTAATGTGGAGATTTGATGGCATGGGTCAGTTTTAATTTTAACATTTTGCTGTGCTCAGAGGTGGCTGGGTGTAATTTTTTTGGCACTCCCTCTAAAGGAGCTGAATTTTCTGTGGTGGAAGTGAGTGTTCGTATTTTCACCTCTTAACTGCTAAATCCTTGACAAAATTCAGCCAGCAAATGATTTTGGAATTGCATCCAGAGTGTAAATCCTTAGTTGTGACCATAATCTGCATGAATTGACCACAGAGAGAATGAGGTTGAAGAAGTCAAGGAAGAAGGCCCCAAGGAGATGACCCTGGATGAGTGGAAAGCCATTCAAAGCAAGGATCGTGCAAAAGTCGAGTTCAACATCCGCAAACCAAACGAGGGAGCTGATGGGCAGTGGAAAAAGGGATTTGTGCTCCACAAGTCAAAGAGTGAGGAGGTAAAGTGCCTTTCCATGCTTGGAGTGTCCACTTTGTAAAGGTTTTGTTGTTGATGAGCATTTTTTAGAGTGGAAGCTCCATTCTGGGAGATGCTGACCTGTAGTTGGAAGTTGAGAAAGTGGGAACAGCATTTTTTTAAATTTGAACTTCATTCTTGTTCATTTGAGCAACGTTCTTTTAGCAGCATTGAACTTCTGCAGGAGCACAAGTGGCCATTCTGACTGTGGCTGGGTTCAGGAGCTGAGCTGTGCCCTCAGCTTTGTAAGAATTGCCTCTTGGTGAGAGTTTTAGGGGAATGTTGTCAAGTTTGCTTTCTAAAAAAGGCAGCTTGTGTTATTTAGCATCTGTTCTGCAGTACACAGGTTCATGGTGCTTGCTAAGTGATGTCAGCTTGAAGGAAGACTGGTCATGCCTCAGAGACCTTAAACCCAAACTGTGCATCTGAAATTTGTGGTGTGGGTGTCTCCTCACTTAGTGCTGTGACACAGACAAGCTCTTGGGAAGGCAGTTGGAATGATTTATGTGCTCCAGTGACACTCAGCTTAGCTGCTGTAGAATTGTTTTAAATTTGTAGTTTCTCATTTCAGGCATTGCATAATGTTCATTATTCTGTTCCAAGAGTGGCAAGGGGGGATGCACCAGGGAGGGAAGTGCTGAGAGTTGGTTTTGTAATGCAGGGCTGTGCTAATCTTTGGTTCTAATCTTTGTTTTTAGCGCTCTGTAATATGTTAAGTAGCTCACTTAAGAGATTGGTGGCAGCAACTTTGTATACTGATGGTGCTGAGTCCTCTGAAGTGACTGGATAGTGTGTAATACTCTGCTTGCTCTCCTAAAATGTATTCCTGCTCTTCCACACCTTGCCGATTTCTGTCCTGGGAGCTGGGATGTAATCCAGGGTGGGGGGCACTGCTCAGTGCTGCAGTGAAAGTTCCATTTCTGCTCTGAGCTCCCAGCGAGGATGACTTGGTGACAGATCAGCCTGTCCTTGCTGTGTGGGGCAGGGCAGTTCTTGAAGTGACTGCATGGCTGTGTCCCCTCTGAGCTGTTCCCTGAAGTGTTCATTAAATGCTGCTTTCTCTGGCTTGGGAAGAACAGGGAATTTGAGTTGCATTTAATGTTGCTGTGTGATGAAAGAATGTATTAAGCAGAAGTATTTATGTACTTTACCAGGATTTACTGCACCTGTAGTTCTTTGAATTCCCTCAGTCTCTCTGAATCAGATTTATTTGACATTTGCTCATCTGAGGGCACTTTTTAAAATGTATGAGCATATATGATAGCAAAGATGATGCTGTTTGTGAGAGATTTAGAGGCTAGAAAGATCCTGACTGTATTTTCCTTTTGAAAACTGAATCAGTTAACTCAAAAAAAAAAAAAAGAGAAAAAAAAACCCAACAAACAACCAAGCAAAAAGCAATAACAAAAAAATCTGAACAAAACCTGTGAATAATCAAATTACTGCCATGGAAGACCCGACATAATTAGTAGATTGTTCTGTTTAAGAGGTGAACTTCTCAAATAAACAAGTTGGATATTTTTAGCACCATCACATAAGAAGGTAACAGCCTCTTGCTGCGTAAGCATGAAAGTGAGGTATTAACAAATCTGCCTTCAAATTGAGCTGCTTTTAGCCTGCTTTATTGTCCATCCAGCAGATGTGTCTCCCCATCTCCCTTCTTCATTGTTCCCTGATCCCATGGGAAGCAGTGTGGGGATTTTCTCTCAGGATTATAGGAGAATAGCTTTATAATACAGGCGTTAGGAAAGCTTCCACTGCAGCTCCTTTGTGAGCAGCTTTAGAAGGCAACATGTTTTAAAAAACCACCAATCACCTGCTGTTTCCTCTCTTTGTCCTCTTGGATGTACTTAGGAGTCAAGAAATTAAGGTTTCTCTGATTCTTATTGCTAAGAAGGAGACGATGTGTGGAAGTGATTTGGTTTAAGTTAAATTGTGGTTTTTAGCCCCAAATCTTCTGTACTCTTACGGCTGAAAAACCCTGTGTGCCCCAATAGATCTCTCAGAAATCTGAAGTGTTGTGATGAGCACCTGCATTCTTGTAGCTTGGGAACTCCTTGGAGAATGCCCCAGGAGTCTGGGAAAAGGGAGAATGAGGATCTGATGCTGCTCATCCTTGGGAAGGAGCTGTCCTCCTTTTCCTCCTGCTTGTCCTCCTGGCTGGGTGCTGAAATGCTCAGCCCTGCCTGAGGTCTGTCCTCCTGTTCCCCTTTACTCTGCAGGTACTGGTGGAATGGACTCTCAGTTCTGCCTCAGCTCTTGCTGCTGTAATCTGACATCCAGGGCCATCAGCAGCCCTGCTCCAAGGAGCCTCTTCCCAGGACACAGGGTTATGCCAACAAATTCCTCTTTTTCTCTGCAGCTGCTTTAGTGCCTTGAGTCTTCAGTTCCTACAAAAAACAGGAACGAGTTATATTGTGGACAGATCCTAAAATTCATCCCAAAAGTGGAATCCAGGACTCCTGGAAAAACTGATAGCCAGTAGATCCCTGTCCCTGCTGTGGCTCTTCAGATCTCCTCACTAATCCAGTCCCTTCCTTAGAGGAGGTTGCAGTGGGAGATTAGGAAGTGTATTTTGGAAAAGAACGATTCATCTCCTCAGAGTTGGGAGGAATGACTCTTGAATGAAGGCTCTGCAGGAGGATTTCCCTGAACAGTGATTCAGCCATCCCAGCTCTTCCATCTCCGTGCCTGATGTGTGGCCGTGCTGGAGACCAGCCTGCATGTGTGGTCTCTGCCAGGGCTTCCAGCAGCTCCTGGGCAACTTTCTGCTGTCCATCCACCTGAGCTTTTTGTTGGTGTCCATCCACCTGAGCTTTTTGTGGGCATCCACATCCATCCACCTGAGCTTTTTGGGTGATGTCTGTCTGAGCTTTGTTTTGGTGTCCACCTGAGCTGTTTTCTGGTGTCCATCCCTCTGAGCTGTTTTCTGGTGTCCATCCACCTGAGCTTTGTTTTGGTGTCCATCTGAGCTGTTTTTCGGTGTCCATCTGAGCTTTCTCTTGTCTCCACACTTGGCACATCCATCCTGTGCTGTCTCTGGCTGCTTGCACAGCTGCTCCCTCCTCCCAGTGCTGCTCCATGTGCTCAGTGCCATCTGTACCAGCAGCTCCTGTGACCTGATTACCTGTTGTTCCTGTATGTAGTTGAGTCTCATTTCTTCCTTTTGTTTTCTCCCTTTGTTCCTTTTGTCACTTTGGCGTGGACACACAACTGTCACCAGACAAAGGCGATGACAGAAATGCAGGGGAGTCTGCTGGATTCAAATGAGGTACTGACCCTTTCTCTGTCACTGGTGATACCTGGTGTTAACATCAGCCCCTTCAGCAGGGAACGTTTGGATATTAAAAACTCACCAAAAGAAAGGATTTTACTGAACGTGGAGCTTTTCTGTCCATGCCTGTTGTCTCAGTGTGAGCCGTCCAGCACCCAGCATGGTTGTAGTCCCCTTGCTCCTCATCCTGCTGATTTCAAACCTTATCATAAGAGCTTCTATCATGAGTATCTATTTTTTTTTGTTGCTGCTGTTTTTCCATCTCTCACTGTCTGCTTTGGTTCTCTTGGTAGTTTGTTCTTAATTTTTGACAGCCTTCCCCAAGACCCTTAAGTGCAGCACTACCTTCAAGAAGTGATCAGTTAGTAAATCAGAGCACTGTAGAGTCACCAATACATAGAAATTTAATGTTTCCCAGGATTTTTCAGGATAAGCAACTTGTTCAGCATGTCTGACTTATCACCCAGTGATGGAAGAGGCTGAGGAGAATGTGCCAAGTCTTTAGTTGGAGTTTTAAATGACCTTTAATTACTTTGGATAAAGGAATCGTAGGTTACGTAGGGAATTTGCAATTTGTTGGTTCAGCAGTTATACCAAAGTCAGATTGTGGAAATGCAGTCACTTCTGGTCAACTGCAGTGATTTGTTTTTAAATAAAAACAGCACAGGGGATGGAAATGAACAGAAATACTGCACAAATCCACTGATCCCACCACTCAGAAAAGGGAATTACCACATGGCTACCCCTGGCTGGAGATAGAATCTCAGTAGCCTGCAGTGATAAAAACTGCAGATAAAAAATGAAATAATAAGAAGGGAATTTAAGACATCTCTAAGAGATATTTTACAGAGTGTTAAGTTTGAGTAGTGCCATGTCAGGCTGAGGCGTGGCATACTTTTCTTTTGTTGAGACAAACTTCCTAAGTTTGGCAAAGAAATTTCTGAGGGAAGGAAAAATAAAATCAGGAATGAAGTAGGAACCAGCTGTTCTGTGGGATACATCCCAGTGGAATGTGTTGGAAATAAAGCAGCATGGAAGGGATATACTGAATCAAACTGGGGATGGAGGGAGAGGACAAAGGGGAGTGTCAGGGATAGATGGGATATTGGGAAGGACCCATGGAATCCCTGGCAGCAGCTTTGGCTCTAGCCCTCTCCATCCCTTGGCAGCCTTGTGAAGGCTCCACAAATGGTAATTAAAGATCACAGGGCTTAATTGCACAATGTGTTGCCTTTGAAAGTCCGAATGTTGTGTAACTACCGCAGAAAAGTCAGTTGGAGTTGGGAAGCTTGAACCTGCACGTGGCATTTGTGTAGGAAAACAGGAAATTGATGGGTGCTGTGCCAGGAGTTGGGGGATTGGAGGGAAGGAAAGTGTTGGATGTTGTCATGTTTCCAAAACACCATGGTTGAGCTGCAATAGGCAGGTTTTTGCATTCTTTGTATTATCCTGGATGCCAAAAACTGGCTTGCACGTGAAAAAAATATTTGTGTAAAATAGGAGAAATAACTGCTTTGAAAAGACCTGGTGGGGTTCAGAGTGTAACTGAAATTTTCCAAGGCTGCTGCTGTTGGTAACTCCTGGGAGCATCCCTTGCTCCTGCAGGTTCAGGTTTCACCAAATGCACTGGGAACAAACCAGTAAGGGAATATTATGGCAAAGGTGCTGAGATCCACATTTTCCAGTGTCACTGGTGAGACTGGTTGTGTTTTAGCTCCTCCAGCTCCTTGTGTTTGAGCTTTTTGTGCCTCATTTGCTGTTACAGGGAATGCAGAGCAGTGAGGGATTCTCAGTGTTTATCAAGGGCTAAAACAGAAAAAGTGTAAATCCTCAGGGAACAAAATCAGCCTGGGTGACCAAGAGTGGAAAAAGAATGGAAGGAATTGGTGGAACCAGGACACAAAACGAGAATTGCTACAACAGGAGAATCTGTACTGGCTTGGTAACAGTCAGTCTGGTCTGGGATTAAGGACATGTTGCTCTGATGGAATTTTGGGAAGGATTTCCCCTGGAAAGGGAGGTCAGGCATTGGAAGGAGCTGTCCAGAGAGGTTTGGGGTGCCCATCCCTGCGGGTGTCCAGGGAAGGACTGGACATGGGCTGGTCACAAGGAGGGGATTGGGCACAGGCTGGACTCAATCCTGCAGGACTTTTCCAACCTCAGTGATTTTGTGAGCTCATAAATTACCTTGGAAAGGCGAAATACTTTGGTTGCTAAGAAATTCCAAGTTTCCCGAGGGACAACCAGGAGTGCAGGATGGGTTGTGTGGCAGGGGCTGTGCTGGCCAGAGCCCATCTGCAGCGCTCAGGAGGATTTTGGTGCCGTTCCCTTGCTGATGAGAACTGCTGGTTGCAGGCTCACGCTGAGGACTCGGTCATGGATCACCACTTCCGCAAGCCCGCCAACGACATCACATCCCAGCTGGAGATCAACTTTGGAGACCTGGGCCGCCCCGGGCGCGGCGGCAGAGGGGGCCGGGGGGGCCGGGGCCGCGGGGGCAGGGCCAGCCGTGGAGGCAGGACTGACAAGGTGAGTGCCACCCCCTCTCACTTCCCACTCATTCCCACCCTTTGGCATCCTCCTTTTCCCGGGGGGAGATGCTCTGACAGCAAGAAGCGTGTTTTAAACCCAGGTGAAAATCCTGCTGAGCAGAGCTGACTTTAAACCAGGCTGTTAGGACAGAAGGGTGAAGGTTTGAGCAGTGCTGTCACCAAACACAAAAAAGGGAGGGTGGGTTTTAAAAAGTGTCTTTGTGTCTAAACCTGAAGAATGACTTTCCAGTGTGGACAGATCTGAATGTACCATGAGCTGCCTGAGGTGCTGCCAGAGCAGAACCACAAGTGCTGGTTATTTTCAGCCACAGCCAGGACACTCTGTGTGCATTGTGACCTGCTGGGGGTGAAGGACTGGTTGTACAGCTGCATGTCACATCTTGAACCTGAGGAATTCAGATTTTCCAGCTGGAAACAGGGCTCTTACTGGTCTTTCTCTAACCTCCAGTAATGTTTTTCCCTTCCTTGGTGCTAAGGCACCAGGGGAATACCCTGAAAAAATACTGATTGGGGTTTGGGAGACAATATGTGAAGTTGAAGCACTGCAGTGCAGCTACAGTGAAGATTTGATTTATTATGAATCATGTACTTGCCTTAAAGGCATCAGTCAGATTGTGAGCTCAGTCTGTGTGCTGTGGTTTTCTTCACACAGATTTGCTTGGTTTTGTCCCTTCTAGCAGACACAGACTTCACGAATTTTAGTTCATTAGTTGGGAAGCTCTCTCCTGACAACAGTATCGGGATATTTTAAGGAATTGAAATGAAACAGTGGTGGTTTAGTCTGAGTTGTTTCACTAATACCCTTCAAGAATGCTGCCATAAAGTAATTCCAAGCTTTCCCACACCTGACTTTGTGTTGCTTTTGTTTCCTTGCAGTTGGTCAAGGAGTTTGATGTGATCCACACGCCCAACCAGGTGGGTGAGCTCTGCATGAGCATTCCCTGGGATCAGGGACCAAAACTTCCCTCCTTTTTCTGGCTGTTCCTGCTCTTGTGTGCTGAGCAACTGGAGGTGCTGAGCCTGTAGCTTAAGCCCTGCTGTTACTTTTTAATTCTGGTTTGTGGCCTGTGGAGTCTTAGGCAAGGCAGAGACTCTGCAGCTACAGGTGTTGATGCAACTCTCATTTTAAATATATTTGTTGATAAATTAATACCATGAAGTTCCACTATCTTGGCTCCTCCCATTCTTCTCCAAAGACCAAGTGAAGAGTATGAAATTCTTAATTTCTGCTCTGGTTTTTAGATGTGGTGTAGAGCCTTTCAAAAATCTCTGTTGGAAACTACTGAGGAGATCCTTGGCTAATGCATGAATTTTTAGGGCTAAAAATTTGGCACAAAAATTACTTTAATCAACATCTGGTTTCTGAGTGGGAAAAACTAAACATGAAAAACTTAATTTGTGCTCCAGAAAGGGCTGTTTCTGTAACATTTCAGTTGTGTCCCTCAGTGAGGATTGGTCCACAGGGAAGGATCAGCCCATGGCAGGAGGTTGGAATTCCGTGATCTTTGAGGTCCCTTCCAACCCAGACCATTCTGAGATCTGTTTAAAAAGACAATTGTGCAGTAATGATGCAGTAATTTGCCTACAGTTCCTTTCCAGATTAAAAAAAAAAACCCGTGTGAGAGGCTTTGTAATCTTTGGAATAAATAAAAAAAGGGTTGTTTTTGTAGTGATTCCTCCAGCCCCGAGGTGCTGCCACCTCTGCCTGCAGGCAATAACTCTGTGATGTTTTGATGTTTCTCTTTCAGTCAAGTGCTTCTGCTCCTGACGTAGATGACCCAGAGGCTTTCCCAGCTCTGTCCTAAACTGGATGTCATAAAGCCAACCCTGCCCTGGTCGGGCCTTCCTCTCCGAGGCTTGCATGCTTAAGGATCCTAAAACAACTAAGAAATTGAAAAAAAAAACAAAACAAAAAAAAAAAAAAAAAAAAGAGACTGTCATTCATACCATTCACACCTAAAGACTGAATTTTATCTGTTTTGAAAATGAACTTCTCTCGCTACACAGAAGCAACAATATGGTAGTCAAGTTTTGTATTTAGAAATGTAATGGTAGCAGGGTGTTTTCATAATTTTTTCAGAGATTATGCATTCTTCATGGATACTTTTTTGTATTGCTGCTTGAAAATATGCGTTTCCAAACTTGAAATATAGGTGTGAACAGTGTGTACCAGTTAAAAGCTTTCCCTTCATTTGTGTTCTTTTTTTTTTTTTTTTAATTTAAAGTCAGGATTTTAGACTTTCCCCCTTCCCCCCCCCAAACTCCAAATTAGGTTTTAAGTATTGCACACTACTTCAGTTTCCTTAATTCCTCTTTGGCAGATTTTTCTCAGCCCATGGAATCTGTGGAATATTAATTTGGCAGACTGTTAGTGCTGTATGGAATGAACTCCTGGAGTACTTAAGTTTTAATGCTTCACTTCCAACATGGAAAACCAGTCATTTCTTCATCTCTGTTGGGTAGTTTGTTTACACAAAATCTTTCTAGAAAATTGAAAGCAGATACTTGAAATCAAGATTCAAAGCACATTGGTTTATGATTCAATACCTGTGTATGGATCCAGCAATGGGTAACTGGTCTGAAAACCAGGTTTTTAAAATTCCTGTATCCCACCTTGCACTCCCCCTCTGGACCTTTATTTCCTCCTCCTTCCCTTCAACAGAACAAGATGCTTTTTTTGGCAACAAAAAAAAAGAGTTTTTTAATTACCTTTGCTTTTTGTTTGAAAGGATACCCTGAGATTGGGGGAATTCCTGTTGTTGGAGCTGGGATACCCTGAAATAGAGGGAATTCCTGTCCTTGCAGCTGGGATTCCATGAGAATGGGGGAATTCCTGTCCTTGGAGCTGGGATTCCATGAGAATGGGGGAATTGCTGTCCTTGGAGCTGGGATTCCATGAGAATGGGAGAATTCCTGTCCTTGGAGCTGGGATTCCACGAGTGTGGGGGAATTGTTGGAGCTGGGAGTGGGGGGAAGGTGGCAGCTGTGGCTCTGGAAGCCCAGGTGGATCCCAGGTGGGATGTGGGATTGCCACACGGGTGCAGCAGTATTCCCAGTATTCCCAGCACTGCTCCAGGTGTTCCCAGGAAGGAGCTGGGCTGGCTCAGGAGGGAGTTGTGGCTCATGGCTTCGGGCTGGGACAATGGCAATCTGTGCGTGGGGTACCAAAAATCCACCCCAAAACCTCAACACTTCACCTCTCCATCCAAAGGCTGCTATGGCTCAGTGCAGTGCTCAGGATCTGCTTGGGACATCACCAAGGAATGCTTTTCCAGAGAATGATTGTAAGAAATTCCTTCTCCCTCAAAATCCACCATAGGTTCAATTTCTTCCCCGTGTTTCCCTTCAGTACACAAGAAGAGTTGAGTGAAGGGCTAGTAGAGGATCTTGTAGGGGTTTTATCAGCATTTGTTAGGAGAATAGGAACAAATCTCATTTTATTCCATGTTTTCCTCTTTGGCTAGCTGAGAACATATTTGTAGTTTCGTAGGTAGGCAGAAAACTAAAGGTAACACCCTATTTTTATAAAAACTGTGCAGGACAGGCAGGAAGTGTTGGAGACCTTGGAGTGTGGAATACCAGCCTGCTCAGCTGGGTGTTGGCAGCTGCCTTTGCTTTTCCTGAGCTGTTTTCCACAAGAGCTCCTGTTGTGACCCACTGTGAGTACCAGGGATCAGTTCCCTCACCTGGATTTCAGCCCCAGGCAGGAGAAGGAGGCAGATTTTCCATCAGAGAGTGGGAAATCCCTTGGTTCTGCTCTCCTGACTGTGCTCTCAGTGTGGGCTGTTGTAGGAGCAGAGCTGTTCCTTTTCCCATTGTCTGGTGGGATGTGCTGCACTTCAGCCTTAGGGACAGCCTGGATAGCACCAACCATGTGGAACAAACCTTTCCCTGGAACACAGCCCTTCCTTGCTCCAAACTGCTGTTCCAGTTGCCACCCAGGTAATTTTGCTGGCTGAATTTTCCCTTTCCCTGCTCTAGAGCATTCCCAAATGGCACCTAGAGTGATTTTCAACACAGCTTGTAACTTAAAATTGGTCCTTCTGCTGTTCTGCCAGATGTAAATTCGCCTCTTTCAGTCCATTTGTGTCAGGAACTAAAACTGTGAACATTTATCTTTAATATTGGTGGGTGTTAACTGAAATAAAGGTTTATTTTCATGCTCTTTAAAAAAAAATGTCCTGAAAACCACGTGGAAATGAAGCCACTGAGGTTCATAGTGGCTCCTCTAGGGTCTGTCCTGGGAAGTCCAGCTTGCATTCCCTTTCCCAGGATGGATTTTGCCTTGGAAAAGCATCTCCCAAGTAGGTTATTTATGATTAATGAGCTTGCTTTTAGTAACATTTTCTGTCCTCTTGCTTGCTCCTGCTGTCACACCAAATCTGAGGGACTGCAGCTTTTAAATTCTGATCCTTTGGAAAAGAGAGCAGAGAAAGTTGGAGGCGTGGAGCAGATTGGCTTTGGAGTGAGCCAAGGGCAAGGTTTGAGCAGGGGAGTTGATCTCAGCTGGGATGGTGGGAGGGAGCACGGGGGAGTGATTGCTCAATTCCAAGAGTTAGCTGTGTGGGAAAGGACATGGATTCTCCTGGAATGTTGGGAATCAGTGGGAATGTGTGGTGGCAGCAGTTGGAGGAGCTGAGCCCACCCCCACCTGTAACTGTGCCCACAGGGATGGCTTTGCAAAGACAGAGCTCTGGTTTAATAAACCCAGCACTGACAGCCAGCTGTGCCCCTTCCAGCTGTGCCAGCTGCTGCTTTCCCAGAGTCATTCCAAGGACCAGGCACTCTGGGCTGCTCTGCCTCTGCCAGGTTCCATGCTCGGGGTGTCCCCAGGACAGCCACACCTGGTGTTCCTGCTGTGAAGGGTGTCCTGAGGGGGGACTCACCTGGGAAGCTCAGGGACAGCAGGCTGGAGTTACAGAACTCTGGTCCTTGTCTCTTGGAGCAAGGCTGCACATGAAACCCCACATTGTGATTGATTTGGAGATCTATGGGGCAAGGAGAAAATTCATTCCAAAGTTCTCTTATCCTTAGGTTGAGGTAGAAAACCAAGATGCAGAAAAATGGCAAAATAGTGCTTTATCAAAAAAACCCAAAAAAAACAAACAACCAACCAAAAAGCCAAACCCTTTTTGGCATCTGATGTGCCTTTCTAGCTCAGTTTGGTTTGCAGAGCTGACTGGAGGGGCTGAGTTGTGGTGCTCAGGCAGAATCCTCTTACCGGGGTGGTTCCCAGGCAGGGTGTGGAGAGCAGGCAGCAGGTTCGGGTTTTTTGGATGTGTGACCCAGTTCTGAGGGAGATGTTTTCCTTTGCTGTCACCCAGCCAGGTGACACAGGTGGGACCAGAGCTCAGAAGCCCAAAGCGCAGTGGCTGAGCTGGTATTTGGCAATACCCAAATCTGCACTTGAATGGTGGCAGCAGCAGCTCGTGTCCCTGCTTGGGGACACAGAGGATGCTCCAGGTAAGTTCATACCTGGGCTGCTCCATCTCTAACTGCAACGTTTCAGCTTTATTTAATTTTTAATTGTACTGTGTAAAGCTGGAGCGTGACCAGAGAAAACAACAGGAAGCCAAGTTCAGATTTCCAACATTTTATTTATATACACACATCTGGTAAACAAAGTCATTAAATGTGTAACACCCTTGCAGCCTGTAATTAGAACACTCCAATAAATCACTTAAATTCCTCTTGACAATCCATTTGGCTGAGTACAGATCCTACCTGCTGCTTTTAGTTCTGGAGAGGAATTTTCCTGTCCTGTACTGAGGCAAGGAGGGGCTCTGGTGCTGTGTCCCTCGTGGGGCTGGTGACACTGGGGACTCTGTGACTTGGTGCCAGGGGAGGAACAAGAGGTGCTGAGCTGTTCCATCCTTCCCTTTTGCAGTTCCTTGCTCTTTCTGGTGGAAATGGTGATTTCCAGCTCTGATCCTGGGCTGGGCCGTGGGACAGGGCTTGAGGCAGCCCAGGCTGCAGGAAGAGCTCCCAAAATCCCCAAAATCCAGCTCTGGCATCCCCAGCTGTGCTTCTGATTGCAGAGGAGCAGCCACGTCCACTGGTGAGGTGTGATTGGGAAGGGTTTTGTCACTCGAAGGTGTCACATGTGAGGGACTGCACTGGCTGTGCTGAAACACTGAAATATTTCGTAAATGCTAAAATCCAGGCTAGGCTCACATCAAAACACTGAAATACTCTGTAAAGTGCCAAGATCCAGACTGAGCTCACATCAAAACACTGAAATACTCTGCAAAGTGCCAAAATTCTTGCCGGGCTGACATCGCCCCCTGCCTACCTCGGGAAGGAGCTGCCGCTGAGTTTCACTCGATCCAGAGTCAGGTTCCCTTGGCAGCAGAGGGCGGGAGGCAGGAATGCGCTTGGGAAGAGCGGGAGGGCGCTGGGCTCGGGCTCGGGGGCAGGCTCGGGCTCGGGGGCCAGGCTGCCGGGGCTGGAGATGTACTCGGCCGGGGGGATTACGGCTCCGGGGGCTCCATCGGGCTCCATCGCCTCCACCACCAGCCTCTGGTACAGCTCCGGGAGCTGCTGCTGCTCCTCCGAGCTCTCCCGTGCCCAGTCTCCGTGCCCCCCGCTGCCCACCACCGGCTTGTCCCCGGGCTTGGGGGGCTCGGGGTGAGCCGGGCTTTCCTCCACCGGGCTGGTTTCGGGCTCCTCGAAGCCGCCGGGCAGGAAGGGGCTGGAGGGAGCGCTCAGCTCCTCCTGCGGGGGGGACACGGAGTGAATCCCAGCACGGAGCTCCCGGGACTCGCTCCCCACATCCTAAGGGAGATCTCGCCTTCTTCTGGGCTTTAATTCGCCCAGCGCACCCCGCAGTCTCCTCCAGCGGAGATTATCTGCTGCCAGAGATTGCTGGATTTGCTGCTTTAGGAGATTACAGGCTCGCATGGCTCCAATTGCTTCTTTTTAATGAAGGTTGTGGGATTAGAAGGAAAAACCCCTCTAATTTACCTTGGCAGCCGCTAAGCTCTTGGCCCACGTGGCGTTGGCAGGGTCGGGAATGGCTTTGCTCTGCCACTGCGGCAGGAGGAGGGACAGGAGCCTGCAGGGGGGATAAATGCAATTAAAAACGTGAATGGTGAGACCTGCAGCAGCCTTGTGCTCCTTGGGTGTGGAATTAACCCAGGTGTGATTGTGGATCCGCCCTCAGAGGGACCTGCAGAGCTCTTGGCTGGCTGGGGATAATTCCCAGGGATTGCTCCCCTTCAGTTTGGTCTCAAGAGCTGGTTAAAAATTCACAGCATCTATGAACTACAGCTGTATTTTAAGCTCAGAGCCTGTTTTTATTATCCTTCATGTACTCTGAAACCTTCTTTTTGAACAATCCTCACTGCTCCATGCTCATGAAGGGGCATGACCATCTTGTAGGACAAGGGAAAATGGTTTTAAACTAAAAGAGGGTCGATTTAGATTAGATGGGAGTAAAGATTCTTAAAAAGCACTGGCACAGGGTGCCCAGAGCAGCTGTGGCTGCCCCTGGATCCCTGGCAGTGCCCAAGGCCAGGCTGGACACTGGGGCTGGAGCACCTGGCACAGTGGAAGTGTCCCTGCCATGGCAGGGGTGGCACTGGGTGGGATTTGAGATCTCTTTCAACCAAAACCATTGTGGGATTTAGTCCCTCCTGATAGCCATCCCGGATTTGCTGGGACACAGCTGGCGGATCCACTCACACTCTCCTTGCTGGAGGCACAGAGCAAAGGCAGGCTGAGAGGACGAAGAAGCTGCCGATGAGCACCAGAGTCAGCCAGCCCCCAGCACCTGCAATGCAGAGCAGCCACCATTCAGCTCCATCAAAAAGATTAAAAAAAACCCCAAATCTTTCTGTGCTTCATGAATAAACCACCCTTCACCACAGAGGAAACAGCACAGCACTGGGAGCCTGAAGGCAAAGAAGGAGATTCCACATCCCAAACCCAGCAAATCCTCAGCACCAAGAGATCTTCAGCACGCTCGGAGCGCTCGAGTGACTGCAGAGGAGCAGGAAAAGCATTCCAGAGGGCGGGAGAGGGGATCCGAGGGCAAGCAGCTCCCTTACTCTCCAGGCAGACGCTGTCGCTGTTGCCCCGGGGCCCCTCCCCGGCCGCGGTCGCCGCTGTCATCCAGAGCTCGTGGGGCTCGCCGGGCTCCAGGTGAGCGAGGTGCAGCCAGCGAGGAGCCTTCCCGGCGGGAACGGCTGCGGAAAAGCATGGAAATGGGGAGCCTGGCACGGGATCTGCTGCCTGCAGCTGGGACGGGCTCCGAGGGGGAGGAGGAGGAAGAGGAGGGGGGAAAAGAGGAGGAGGAGGAATAAGGAAAGAGAAAATGACGAAGAATAAGAGAGGAGAAGAGGAGGAAGAAGAGGATTAAGGGAAAAGAAAAGGAAGATGAGAACTGAAAATTGATGGCTTCCCACTGCCAGAGGAAAGGGATAAATGGGATATTGGGAAGGAATTGTTCCCTGGGAGGGTGGGCAGGCCCTGGCACAGAGAAGCCCAGAGAAGCTGTGGCGCCCCTGCATCGCTGGCAGTGATTTTAGTAAAAATTATAGAAATATATAGAATATAGAATCTATAGAAATATATAGAAATATACAATCCCAGACTGGTTTGGGTTGGGAGGGACCTTAAATCCCACCCAGTGCCACCCCTGCCATGGCAGGGACACCTCCCACCATCCCAGGCTGCTCCAAACCCGGCTCAGAGCCCGAATTCCCACCCGACTTGTTGCTAAGACCATTTTCCACCCACACTGGTGCCGTGCCCAGCCCGGGGTGGCGTTACCTGCTATCACAGTGGACAGGAGGGACGGGGGCAGCTTCACCCAGCCGTGCTGGGGCTGCAGGCGTGGCTCCCTCCAGGGCTCTGCCCACTCCACCAGGTAGCCCCCCACGGGCACGGCGCCTGCGGCAGGGGGGCTCCAGCTCACCAGGATGCTGCTGTTGCCCAGGCCCACGGCAGAGACCCGCTGGGGAGGGGGCAGATCTTGCAGGGGAGAACAAAACAAGGTTCTTGAGGCCTCAGTCAAACCTTTGGGACGTGGGGTTTGCTGGGTCTCGCCCACTCTGGTGCCGTGGGGAGGATAAAATGAATTACAGTGATAAAGAGAAGGTGCTGATGGGAGGGTGAGGGTTTGCTGGCAGGAACAGTGACATTCCTGGCTTTTCTCATGGGTGGGACACCCACAGCTCGGCCTGGCTGTGCCATCCCAAGCCCTGGCAGGTGCTGGCAGGGCACGCCCCAACACCCTGCCCCGGTGGAAGCACGAGGATGTGGAGCTGCTGCAGAGATTCCAGAGGAGGAACGGGGATATCCCAAGGGCTGGAGCCCCTCTGGCTGCGAGAGCAGGGGCTGCTCCCCTGCAGGACCGCAGGGAAAAGCAGATCAGCAGATCCCTGAAGTTCACTGAGGGGAGCACAAGGTGGAGGGACCACAACACCTGCAGGGGTGCGGCACGGAGCAGAGCCGTGCTCCGGCCATGCCGAGCAGCAGGAGCCTCACCTGGGCTCAGGATGGCAAACCCAAACCCAAATTTCAGGATTTATTTTTGCCACCCAATCCCAGTTTTGCTGTGAGATGCTGACTGCTCCAGCAGCAGCACAGCTGGGGACACTGAAACCCTTCCTGCCCTGAAGCTGAATTCTCACTTTTTTTCCCTCCCCCCTACTGAAAGCCACACTTTTCACAAAGGAGGGGGAAAAAGGTGATCAAATTCTCAGCTGGATTTGTCAAAATGAGCAGGTTTTGCCTGGGAGAAAAACCTTGGATTTTACTTGAAGCCACCATAAAGAATTACTGAAATGGAACCACTCAGAACACACATCTCTGACAGCCTGTGGAACACCACACCCTGGTTTTAGCTCCCCTCTGGGTGCCTGCAGTTGTACTCTCAGTTTCAGTTTCCTGATGTTTCTGTGACATTAATTCATTCGTTTGGCTGATTTTTGTCAGAACGAAACAATGCACAAAGCACAAACCAAAATGTTCGCCGTGCTTTGGCAGCAGCCCGGGACTGAGGCAGCACTGGAAACCTGCTGAAATTGAATTTCCAACCCTTTTCTGGGTGTTTGTCTGAGAACAAGAGCACAGCCTTGGTAGGAAGTGGTCCTGAGTGTCAGCCTGGCTTGGGAGCTGCAGTGAAACCTCTAAATGCAGTTTATCACCCCGTTTTATGAATGATGCTGCAGGAAGCCACTCCTGATAAAGAAAGTGCTGCAAGATAAAGGTCTGCAAGCCACAGTGGCTGAAGCCACAACGTCTGGGCTCACAGAATTTCATGAGAATTTCTGCTTTCACTTGCAGCCTGGCGTGGGGGGGGGAACAGAGTGAAATTTTTTTTACCCAGTTCTGGTGGGTTTTAAACTAAATTCTGTGTGGAATGTTCCCTGTGGGGTCCCCGCCCCTAGCTCTGCCCAACAGATCCTGAAAACGATTTCAGCTGGGGAGTCTGGAGAGGGGCTGGGGATAAAGGGATGGGGGCAGGACACAGGGAATGGCTTCCCACTGCCAGGGGGCAGGGGTGGATGGGAGATTGGGAAGGAATTGTTCCCTGGGATGTGGGAAGGGGTTGGATGGAATTCCCAGAGCAGCTGTGGCTGCCCCTGGATCCCTGGAATGTCCAAGGCCAGGCTGGAGAGGGCTTGGAGCAGCCTGGGACAGTGGGAGGTGTCCCTGCCATGGAACAGGATGACACTCGAGATCCCTCCCAATCCAAATAATTCTGGCATTCCATGAAATTGCAGGTAGAAAAATGCTGATGAGTAAGAGGAGGAATAGGGAGGGGACCCTTGGTCTGTGTCCCTGTCCCTGGGAGCTGGTGAAACCTTTGTGCTCTGCCAGGGTTCAGTCCTTCCCTGCCAGCCTAAAAATCACCATTTCTCCTCTCTCCTGGCTCTGGTTTCATTTCCCCTCTCACCTGGCTGCGTTTTGCAGCCTCTGCTGGGCTATCCTGGGTTTCAAGGTGTGGCTGGGGCTGTGTGTTCTGTCCCTTCTGTCAGAGCTGGGGCACTTATCCTCTCTCTGACTCTGCCAGTGGTTTGTATTGCTGCATTTTCATTTTGTTTTTATTTTTCCCTAATAAAGAACTGTTATTCCTGCTCCCATATCTTTGCCTGAGAGCCCCTTAATTTCAAAATTATAATAATTTGGGGAGAGGGGGTTTACATTTTCCATTTCAGGGGAGGCTCCTGCCTTCCTTAGCAGAGCCTGTCTGTTCAAACCAGGCCAGGGGGTTTCAGTGCACTCACCTTCCAGAACAGGGAGAGGTTCTGGTGCCCCGAGTCCAGCTCCTGCTGCCGGTACCAGACATCCAGGGTTCCCGTTGGCACTGGAGGGAAAGAAAAGCAGAGCAGTGGCAGTGGCTGGGGTTTGGAGCCAGCAAACAAGGAGGTAAAACCCCTGAGAAAATTCAAATTTAATCTTTGAAATGCCCCTGGAGTGCTGCAGGGTGTGATAACCCAGGTTTGCTGTTGTTTGGCTGTTTGAGGGTGGCAGCACGAGGAGAAGAAGCCATAAACCCAAGGAGGGGAGTTTGGATGTGCTGGTGGCTTTGTCCTGACCTCAGTAATCTGGATGGCTCCCAAGGGAAGCCACACATCAAAGCACAGCATTAGCTCCTGTCTTTGCATAAATTTGAGGCCTCTGAAGGTCCTTGGGCTTGGCTCTGTCAATCCTAGAACAACAGGCAGCCTGGGATGAGGGCACGTGGGGATGTGTGGGATTTTCCTGTCTAATAAATGCCTTCAACAGCTTCTCTGAGGCAGCTTAAACCCCTGGTTCCTTCCACAGCTCTGACTGGAAACTCTTGGTGTTTTGAGCAAACCTCCCAAAACGACATCAAAGGGAAGGTCTGGCTGGTGGATGAGCTCCCAAAATCCAGCACCAGAGGTGAAGGGGTCAGGAAAGCTGGGGTGACAGAGGATGGCAGAGCTTTGCTCCTCGAGGACCCCCAGCAGCACCAGCTCATCAATTCCAATTAACAGCAGGAGCAGGGGCAGCTGATGGGAGCCCAGGGCTGAGCACAGCCACAAACCCCTGCAGGTCAGCATTTGGGGAGCAGCTTGTCCTGGAGTGGCTGCAGAGAGTGACTGCAACAGGAACAAGGAGCAGAAACAAACCCAGAGCACTGGCTGCGAGCTCAGGGCAGAAAAATCCCAACCTGGCATTGCATCTGCTGCCCTCCAGCCTGGCTTTGAAAGCCTGTGGACCACGTGAACGAGGTTTTTGGCAGCTGGCACAAAAAGGAGCAGGAACAGGAATTTCTCCTCGGAAAGGTTTAATTTTGGGAGACAGCTGGTGGGGAAGCTCAGCAGAGCAGCGAGGATGCACCCAGAGCTGCTTGTCTGCAGCCTCCCCTGGCTCTGAGGGCACAAAGATCAGCCAAAAACCCCAGGGCAGGGTGGGGGGGACGGCCACAAGCTCAGGGTGCAACGAAAAGGGGAGAAAACTGTTGAGAGGAAGGTGGGGGAGGCAGGGAAAAGTTCACAAAGTTCACACCTCCCAAATCAATCAATGCCTCTTACAGAAACTGCTGCTGTCACGGGGAAAGGGGAAATGGGTGACTCAGAACAGCCCCAGCCCCAGTAATTCACAAAAAAAGAGCAGCCAAAGCCAAGCAGGAGAGCACAGAACCACAGAATGACAAAGGTAGCACGGCACCTTAAAGAGCATCTCACCCCAACCCCCAAATCCTTCTCAGGGAGCTCTGGAGATTTCTCTTTTGGAACATCTTCACCGTTCGCTCGTTAAAAACGCAATTTTCTTACAGAAACTTCTCCCCCTTGGCTCGGGGGCTGGGTCTGGAGCTCACCCCGAGCAGCCCAGCAGCAGTTTGGCCCCTGAGCTGGGCTTTGCTGTGGGTGCAGAGCTCAGAGCTGGGCTCAGGGCAGGTCTTTACCTGCTGCTGGGGTGCTGCCCTGGCTGCTGCTCCAGTCACTCCACAGCCCTCGGCCGGGCAGCATCCTGCAGCTCAGCTGGAACTCGTGGGCTGTGTCGGGCTCCAGCCCCTGCAGATGGTGTTTCTCCCTGCTGGGGCTCTCCACCTTCAGTGGGGATGAAGAAATCGGTATTAAACTCCCAAGGAAACCAGGACTGCAGGGGCTGAGTTACAAACTCAGCCACAGATTTAAAATCAGCAGAGAAAAACCTGAGCTGAGGCAGCCTCAGAGACTCAAGGGATGATGCAAGGAAATCATCAGCCCTGCAGGGCTTCGTCTGAAAAGTCCCTCATTTCTTACGTGCCCACAGCAAAATCTGTGTTGGGGTGACATGCTCAGCTCCCAGCAAAGCGTCCTTTTTGCCACTTGCAGTGAAAACTTCATGGAATCATGGAATGTTTGGGTTGGGAGGGATCTCAAATCCCACCCAGTGCCACCCTGCCATGGCAGGGACACCTTCCACTATCCCAGAGTGCTCCAGCCCCAGTGTCCAGCCTGGCCTTGGGCACTGCCAGGGATCCAGGGGCAGCCACAGCTGCTCTGGCAATTCCAGCCCAGCCAGGAATTCCTTCCCAAAATCCCATCTAAATCTACCTTCTTTCACCTTCCAGCCGTTCCCTGTGTCCTGTCCCTCCATCCTTGTCCCCAGTCCCTCTGCAGCTCTCCCGGAGCCCCTCTGGGCCCTGCCAGGGGCTCTGAGCTCTGCCCAGGGCTCTTTCCTGCCCACGAGTCCCTGAATCCCAGCAGGATTACCGTGCTCCAGCCGTGCCTGCCGAGGGGACGATACCTCAGCCTGCAGTGCTGTGCCTGTGCCCCGCGGTGCCGCAGAATGGTGCAGCTGGTGGCAGAGGAGTCATCGAATTCCACCGAAAATTCGGGAGGGTGAGGCTTCACTGGCACCAAAACAGGGAAACAAACAGGGCTCAGAGAGGGGTTAGGTGGAAAACAGGATTACTGCTTCAGGCTGGATGGGTGATTTTCCCAAGAGGTTTAATGTTTTTCCAAGAGGTCCTGAATATTTTCAGGTCTCCCCCAAGGTTTGGGGCTGGCTGAGAGGGGGGCAGTGGTGCCTCACCTATGTCTATCAGCATGAAGGTGAGCGGCTGGGAAGAGGCATTTCCTAGTTGGTTGGAGGCAGAAACCACCACGGTGTAATTGGAGTCAAAATCCAGCCTGCTCAGAGCCCCAGAGCCGAAAACCTGGCCGGGAGTTTCTTCTGGAAAGGAAAAGACATCGGTCCCGTTGGAGAGCCTGGAGCAGGAGGAAAGGATTGGTTGGATTTTCTGAGGAGGAAAGGTGAGCCCTGGGGGTGGGGGGTGTCCTGGTTTAGGGATCACCCCCGGCCATGGGGACAGGGACAGTCCTGGGGGTGTGGGGTGTCCTGGTTTAGGATCACCCCAGGTCATGGGGACAGGGACAATCCTGGGGGTGTGGGGTGTCCTGGTTTAGGGATCAACCCCGGCCATGGGGACAGGGACAGTCCTGGGGGTGCGGGGACAAGGTTCCCTTTCAAAGGGATGGATTGGCACAGGCTCTTCACTGAACCCCGAGGGAGCTGCAGGGCATGATGAGAAAGCTGCTGCAGGGGGTAATTAGGCATTAATTGTATTCCCACCCCGGCACTTACTCTATCCCGTAGGCAGTGTGCAGGTAGGTGAGCCTGCCTTTGTGCCAGGTACAGGTGGGATGTCCCCGTGTCCCCTTCTGGATGCAGGACACGTTCCTGGGCTCGTCTGGAGGACCTGAAACAGAAATTCCTGTCAGTCCTGACATCCATGACCTTTCAGGGTCCTTCAGTCCGACGTTCCCAGCCAGCCTGGCTCCGGTGGCTCTCCCCCAGAGGTGTGGGCAGGAGATTTTGAGGGGATGCAGGGCAGGGAGGGCAGTGTTTGCTCTGGGCAGACAGCTTTGTTGAGCCTCTCTCCCTTCAGGAGTAACAGAGCTGCGCAATTCCAGCCGGGAATATTCCCAGTGGGAAGAGCCAGCAGCAAAACCTGGCCGGGAGTTTCTTCTGGAAAGGAAAAGACATCGGTCCCGTTGGAGAGCCTGGAGCAGGAGGAAAGGATTGGTTGGATTTTCTGAGGAGGAAAGGTGAGCCCTGGGGGTGGGGGGTGTCCTGGTTTAGGGATCACCCCCGGCCATGGGGACAGGGACAATCCTGGGGGTGTGGGGTGTCCTGGTTTAGGATCACCCCAGGTCATGGGGACAGGGACAATCCTGGGGGTGTGGGGTGTCCTGGTTTAGGGATCAACCCCGGCCATGGGGACAGGGACAGTCCTGGGGGTGCGGGGACAAGGTTCCCTTTCCAAAGGGATGGATTGGCACAGGCTCTTCACTGAACCCCGAGGGAGCTGCAGGGCATGATGAGAAAGCTGCTGCAGGGGGTAATTAGGCATTAATTGTATTCCCACCCCGGCACTTACTCTATCCCGTAGGCAGTGTGCAGGTAGGTGAGCCTGCCTTTGTGCCAGGTGCAGGTGGGATGTCCCCGTGTCCCCTTCTGGATGCAGGACACGTTCCTGGGCTCGTCTGGAGGACCTGAAACAGAAATTCCTGTCAGTCCTGACATCCATGACCTTTCAGGGTCCTTCAGTCCGACGTTCCCAGCCAGCCTGGCTCCGGTGGCTCTCCCCCAGAGGTGTGGGCAGGAGATTTTGAGGGGATGCAGGGCAGGGAGGGCAGTGTTTGCTCTGGGCAGACAGCTTTGTTGAGCCTCTCTCCCTTCAGGAGTAACAGAGCTGCACAATTCCAGCCGGGAATATTCCCAGTGGGAAGAGCCAGCAGCAGTCCCGGACACAGCCACCCCCTGGCAGTGCCCAACAGGCTTCCCTCTCCCACAGGAGAGCCGTAAGAAGCAATTAAGACCTTTAGGCGGTAATTAAGCAGGGGTTTTCCTTACTCCCACACTGGATATCGATGCCACAGATGAGTTTTCTCCTGTCCCCACAGATGCACCTGCAGGTGAAGTTGTGCCTGCCGTGGGCAGTGAGCAGGAAGGTTTTGCTCACCGAGCCCCCCTGGGCTCGGATTTGCTCGGAGCTGTTGAGGAAAATCGCTGCCCAGCACCAGCGCCGTGGGGCTGCCAGCTGGCAGGACAGGGTGACCTTGGTGCCACCAGCGATGGCACAGCAGGGGCTGGCTGTCACCTTCCCTCTGTCACAGACCTCTGAGGCTCTGCCGGCGCTCACCGGCCCCTTCCTGCAGGGTCCTGCAAGGGAAAGGAAAAGCAGCCTCAGCAGGAGCCCCTGAACCGGCTGCAGGACGGGCTGGGCTCCAGCAAGAGCCTCCCCAGGTGTTTGGTGGAGAAATTCCGGGCTCTGCACAAGAACTTGTGGGATCTGGCTGGGATCAGCAGCCACGGCATCGCCCCCAGTCCCCAAAAACCCAGAGAGCCCCAGGAACAAACTGCCAGAACCCTCCTTTTGCTGGGATTGGAAAGGTGTCTGTGTCAGCAGGGCTGTGGCAGGAGGTGCAGGAAGGACCTGGAGCTGCTGCAGGGCTGGAGCTGGGCTGGGAGAGCTGGGAATGTTCACCTGGAGAGGAGAAGGATCCAGGGAGAGCTCAGAGCCCCTGGCAGGGCCTGGAGGGGCTCCAGGAGAGCTGGAGAGGGACTGGGGACAAGGATGGAGGGACAGGACACAGGGAATGGCTGTAAGCTTGAAAAGGGGGATTTAGATGGGATATTGGGAGGGAATTCCGGGCTGGCAGGGTGGGCAGGGACTGGGATGGAATTCCCAGAGCAGCTGTGGCTGCCCCTGGATCCCTGGCAGTGCCCAAGGCCAGGCTGGACACTGGGGCTGGAGCACCTGGGACAGTGGAAGTGTCCCTGCCAGGGCAGGATGGGCTTTAAGGTCCTTCCACCCCAACCCCAAATTCTGTGATTTTGTGATTTTTTCCCCTGTTCATGAGCTCTGCCCGTCCCGCTGCCTTTTCTCACAAAGCCAACAGCTCTGCCTGGAGCTGAAAACCAAACAAAGTCCCTGCATCACTTATTAACCCCAGAAAGGAAGAGGTTCACTGGCTCTTGGGGTAGAAGCTGGAAAAACCCCACCCTAATTCGGCTGAGTGCTTCCTCCGAGAGAGAATTGCTGTGTAGGGAGAAGCCTCTCTTACCTGCTGTGAGCTGCAGCACCAACCAAAGTGCCGAGGGCACGATCCGTGGAAGTGGCATTTTGGTGCCTGGAGAGAGAGGAATTCCTGTTACCAGCTCCGAAAAACGGGAATATTATGTATACAGATCTTTGTGGGGTTTTTTTTTCTGATTTACTCCTTTCTACTTTACTGTAAAGTAGAAAAAAGATTTTTTTTTTTCAGAAAATCCCAAATGCTCAGTTTGTGAGACCTTTCCAGTGAACATTCCCTGGTTTTGTTGGGATCCAGAGGCTGTGCTGCTCAGCCTTGCAGCAGTGCCTCAGCTCAGCCAGGACCTGCTCATGCGGTGCCTTCCGTAGGTGATTCGCGAGTGCCAGGATGAGCAATCTCAGCAGCTTCTTCAGGGAAATGCTCTGCCTTCCACTAAGCCTGGGGGCTGTGTCAACAACAGCCTGCAAACAGCTGCTGCTGACAGCAAAGTGCCCAAAATACCCGAGGAAAACAAACAGCCTCAAAACCAGCCTCAAAACCAGCCTAAAACCCAGCCTAAAATCCAGTTTAAAATCCAGCCTCAAACCAGTTTAAAACCCAGTTTAAAATCGAGACTCAAAATCCAGCCTCAAACCAGCCTAAAATCCAGCCTCAAAATCCAGCCACAAAAACAGTTTAAAATCCAGCCTAAAATCCAGCCTAAAATCCAGCTTAAAATCCAGCCTCAAAATCCAGCCACAAAAACAGTTTAAAATCCAGCCTAAAATCCAGCCTCAAAATTCAGCCTAAAATCCAGCCTCAAAACTAGTTTAAAATCCAGCCTCAAAATTCAGCCTAAAATCCAGCCTCAAAACTAGTTTAAAATCCAGCCTCGACATCCAGCCTAATATCCAACCTCAAAACCAGTTTAAAATCCAGCCTAAAACCCAGTTTAAAATCCAGCCTCAACATCCAGCCTAAGATCCAGCCTCAAAACCAGTTTAAAATCCAGCCTCAAACCAGTTTAAACCCAGCCTAAAACCCAAAATCCAGCCTCAAAATCCAGCCTGGCTTCAAAGCCTTTGGTCAGAGGACGTGAGCCGTGATGGGAGTAGAGGATGAGAAACTGCTGAGGAGCAACGCCAGCTCAGAGCCAAGAAAAAGGGAAATTAATGGGAAATTCGGGGAAATTAACAGAGAGAAATTAATGAGAACCTCCCAGGTGGCACAGCAGGGAGGGAAATCAGCAGTGCTGGTTGGGGGCAGTGAAATCCCCCAGGGCATGGCACTGAGACCCGCAGGAGCTGGCTGTGGGGCTGCGGGTGCTCCTGTCCCCAAAATGCCATCCCGGATGTGCCTCGGGCTGTCCCCGCAGCCCCGGGCTCCTTTCAGCGCCGCTTCTCCCTCCAAAACCTCTGTGTGCTTCCCAGGAACTGACGGGAACGGGCTGGGCAGCGGAGGAGAGAGGAACACCTCGGTCATTTCGGGTAGAAAAACCCCGTATTTGTGGCCCGGATCTCACACATCCCCGGTTGCTGACGGGTTTTTGGGGAAGCTCTGGGGGGACAGTGGCACCCCGGGTCATCCAAAGCTCGGGACTGTCCCACCGAGGCTGGGGCTGTTCCCAAAGCTGCCAGGAGTGGGGAAGGAATCAGAGCTCCGGGAAAATCCCAGGGCAGGAAAATCCCGGGGCGGCAGCAGCCCAGGGCAAAGCAAATCCCGGGTTAGGAACATCCCAGGGCAAAGGAAATCCCGGGTAAGGAACATCCCAGGGCAAAGCAAATCCCGGGTAAGGAACATCCCAGGGCAAAGCAAATCCCGGGTTAGGAACATCCCAGGGCAAAGCAAATCCCGGGTAAGGAACATCCCAGGGCAAAGGAAATCCCGGGGCAGGAAAATCCTGGGACAAGAGCGTCTCACAGCAGAGAAAATTCCAAGTTAGAAGCATCCCAGGGCAGGAGAATCCCAAAGCAATGAAAATCCCAGAGCAGGAACATCCCAGAGCAGGAATATCCCAGGGCAGGAGCATCCCAAAGGAATGAAAATCCCAGAGCAGGAGAATCCCAAAACATTGAACATCCCAGAACAGCAACATCCCAAAGCAATGAGAATCCCGGGGCAGAAGAATCCCAGGATCCCAGGGCAGTGACAATCCCAGAGCAGGAGCATCCCAAAGCAATGACAATCCCGGGACAGGAGGATCCCCGGGGCAGTGACAATCCCCTCCAGGGCAGGAGAATCCCAAAACATTGAACATCCCAGAACAGCAACATCCCAAAGCAATGACAATCCCGGGACAGGAGGATCCCCGGGGCAGTGACAATCCCAGGGCAGGAGGATCCCAAAGCAATGACAATCCCGGGACAGGAGCATCCCAAAGCAATGACAATCCCGGGACAGGAGGATCCCGGGGCAGTGACAATCCCAGAGCAGGAGCATCCCGCGGGATGCCGCCTTTCCCCGCTGCCCGCGGCCGGGACTCGCCCCTCGGCACGGGGGGGATCCCCAGCCCCGGGAGGCTCGGGGGGCTCCCCGGCACCCCCCGGTGTCCCGGCCGGGGTTACCGACCCCGAGCCCCTCGGGGGGCTCCCCGGCACCCCCCGGTGTCCCGGCCGGGGTTACCGACCCCGAGCCCCTCGTGTGCCCCGGCCCCGCCCGGCCCGGGGGATGCTCGGGACGGGAGAGGAAGGGAAAAGAAAAGAAAGGGAAAAAGGGAAGGGAAGAGGAGAGGAGATAAAAAATAGAATTTTTGCTCAGAGCGAGGGGCTCGTCCAGAGGCACAGCCACTCTCATTTTAGCCTCTCTGCAAGATGATTTCTGCTTTCTCTCATATTTTCAAGCACCCCCACAACCACTGCCGCATTTAACAGAGTTTTAAATGAATTAATGTCTTGCTGCTGCTGTTCCTTCTCTTCTCAGGCCATCAGCGACATAAGCTCGGTTTTTCTGCCTGGTTGTGCTCAGTTTTTCTCCCCTCAGCACGGGCACGCCAGGGCAGCTCTAGCAATGAGGGGACACAACATGCGCAGCCTCCGGGAACCCCAAATTTTCCCTTGGAGCCTCCAGCTGCTTTTCCTCCCCCCAAAAAACCAGGAGCAACATTTGGGCTCCTTTCCAGAGCCGCCAATAATTATCATTAATTTACTGGGGGGGTGAGTGGGGGAGTTAATACCCCACAAAATCCCCAATATCAACAGCTCCTTTTTACCTCCTGTTTCCCCTCTGCCTTCATCGGTTCCCGTGGCGCTTCCCGTTTTCCAGCGCCTTCCCAGCGGGTCCGTGCGCTCCCGGGAACGCTCGGGCCCGGGGCGGGGCCGGCTCCGCTGCCCGGGGCTCTTCGGGGGAGGATGCTGATGGATGGCTTTGTGTCCTGTGACAGCACGAGGAAATCACCTCCGCTCCACCACTTGCTTCCTTTTTGCTTCTAGTTTTTTTCTTATTTCCTTTTTCTTCTCCTTTTAAAAAGTTTTTTTTTCCTGTAAATTGTCTTTCCTTTCCTTTATATTTTTGTTTTCCACTTTTATTTTTCCTCCCTTTATCTTATCTTCTTTCATATTTTTTTCTTTGCCTTTGTCTTGTTTTCATTTTTCTTCTTTCTTTCTCTACTACTTTTTCTTTCTCCATTTTATTTTTCTTCTTTTTCTTTGTCCTTTTTCTTTTCCTTTTTCCCCTTTTCCTTTTTCCTTTTTCCTTTTTCCAAGGAAATCCCGGGGCAGGAAAATCCTGGGACAAGAGCGTCTCACAGCAGAGAAAATTCCAAGTTAGAAGCACTCCAGGGCAGGAGAATCCCAAAACATTGAACATCCCAGAACAGCAGCATCCCAGAGCAGGAATATCCAAGGGCAGGAGCATCCCAGGGCAGGAGCATCCCAAAGGAATGAAAATCCCAGGGGAAGGAGAATCCCAGGGCAGTGAAAATCCCAGGGGAAGGAGAATCCCAAAACACTGAACATCCCAGAACAGCAGCATCCCAAAGCAATGAGAATCCCAGAGCAGTAGAATCCCAGGGCAGGATGATCCCAGGGCAGTGACAATCCCAGGATCCCAGGGCAGTGACAATCCCAGAGCAGGAGCATCCCAAAGCAATGACAATCCCGGGACAGGAGGATCCCGGGGCAGTGACAATCCCAGAGCAGGAGCATCCCGCGGGATGCCGCCTTTCCCCGCTGCCCGCGGCCGGGACTCGCCCCTCGGCACGGGGGGGATCCCCAGCCCCGGGAGGCTCGGGGGGCTCCCCGGCACCCCCCGGTGTCCCGGCCGGGGTTACCGACCCCGAGCCCCTCGTGTGCCCCGGCCCCGCCCGGCCCGGGGGATGCTAAACACTGAACATCCCAGAACAGCAGCATCCCAAAGCAATGAGAATCCCAGAGCAGTAGAATCCCAGGGCAGGATGATCCCAGGGCAGTGACAATCCCAGGATCCCAGGGCAGTGACAATCCCAGAGCAGGAGCATCCCAAAGCAATGACAATCCCGGGACAGGAGGATCCCGGGGCAGTGACAATCCCAGAGCAGGAGCATCCCGCGGGATGCCGCCTTTCCCCGCTGCCCGCGGCCGGGACTCGCCCCTCGGCACGGGGGGGATCCCCAGCCCCGGGAGGCTCGGGGGGCTCCCCGGCACCCCCCGGTGTCCCGGCCGGGGTTACCGACCCCGAGCCCCTCGTGTGCCCCGGCCCCGCCCGGCCCGGGGGATGCTCGGGACGGGAGAGGAAGGGAAAAGAAAAGAAAGGGAAAAAGGGAAGGGAAGAGGAGAGGAGATAAAAAATAGAATTTTTGCTCAGAGCGAGGTGCTCGTCCAGAGGCACAGCCACTCTCATTTTAGCCTCTCTGCAAGATGATTTCTGCTTTCTCTCATATTTTCCAGCACCCCCACAACCACTGCCGCATTTAACAGAGTTTTAAATGAATTAATGTCTTGCTGCTGCTGTTCCTTCTCTTCTCAGGCCATCAGCGACATAAGCTCGGTTTTTCTGCCTGGTTGTGCTCAGTTTTTCTTCCCTCAGCACGGGTACGTCAGGGCAGCTCTAGCAATGAGGGGACACAACATGAGCAGCCTCCGGGAACCCCAAATTTTCCCTTGGAGCCTCCAGCTGCTTTTCCTCCCCCCAAAAAACCAGGAGCAACATTTGGGCTCCTTTCCAGAGCCGCCAATAATTATCATTAATTTACTGGGGGGGTGAGTGGGGGAGTTAATACCCCACAAAATCCCCAATATCAACAGCTCCTTTTTACCTCCTGTTTCCCCTCTGCCTTCATCGGTTCCCGTGGCGCTTCCCGTTTTCCAGCGCCTTCCCAGCGGGTCCGTGCGCTCCCGGGAACGCTCGGGCCCGGGGCGGGGCCGGCTCCGCTGCCCGGGGCTCTTCGGGGGAGGATGCTGATGGATGGCTTTGTGTCCTGTGACAGCACGAGGAAATCACCTCCGCTCCACCACTTGCTTCCTTTTTGCTTCTAGTTTTTTTCTTATTTCCTTTTTCTTCTCCTTTTAAAAAGTTTTTTTTTCCTGTAAATTGTCTTTCCTTTCCTTTATATTTTTGTTTTCCACTTTTATTTTTCCCCCTTTATCTTATCTTCTTTCATATTTTTTTCTTTGCCTTTGTCTTGTTTTCATTTTTCTTCTTTCTTTCTCTACTACTTTTTCTTTCTCCATTTTATTTTTCTTCTTTTTCTTTGTCCTTTTTCTTTTCCTTTTTCCCCTTTTCCTTTTTCCTTTTTCCTTTTTCCTTTTTCCTTTTTCCTTTTTCCTTTTTTCTTTTCCCCTTTTTATATTTTTAATATTTTTTATCCTTTTTATCTTATATTCCTTATAATCTTTTTTCTTTATCATCTTTTTTCTTTATCATCTTTTTTATCATCTTTTTTCTTTATCATCTTTTTTACCATCTTTTTTCTTTATCATCTTTTTTCGTCCAGAGGCACAGCCACTCTCATTTTAGCCTCTCTGCAAGATGATTTCTGCTTTCTCTCATATTTTCCAGCACCCCCACAACCACTGCCGCATTTAACAGAGTTTTAAATGAATTAATGTCTTGCTGCTGCTGTTCCTTCTCTTCTCAGGCCATCAGCGACATAAGCTCGGTTTTTCTGCCTGGTTGTGCTCAGTTTTTCTCCCCTCAGCACGGGCACGCCAGGGCAGCTCTAGCAATGAGGGGACACAACATGAGCAGCCTCCGGGAACCCCAAATTTTCCCTTGGAGCCTCCAGCTGCTTTTCCTCCCCCCAAAAAACCAGGAGCAACATTTGGGCTCCTTTCCAGAGCCGCCAATAATTATCATTAATTTACTGGGGGGGTGAGTGGGGGAGTTAATACCCCACAAAATCCCCAATATCAACAGCTCCTTTTTACCTCCTGTTTCCCCTCTGCCTTCATCGGTTCCCGTGGCGCTTCCCGTTTTCCAGCGCCTTCCCAGCGGGTCCGTGCGCTCCCGGGAACGCTCGGGCCCGGGGCGGGGCCGGCTCCGCTGCCCGGGGCTCTTCGGGGGAGGATGCTGATGGATGGCTTTGTGTCCTGTGACAGCACGAGGAAATCACCTCCGCTCCACCACTTGCTTCCTTTTTGCTTCTAGTTTTTTTCTTATTTCCTTTTTCTTCTCCTTTTAAAAAGTTTTTTTTTCCTGTAAATTGTCTTTCCTTTCCTTTATATTTTTGTTTTCCACTTTTATTTTTCCTCCCTTTATCTTATCTTCTTTCATATTTTTTTCTTTGCCTTTGTCTTGTTTTCATTTTTCTTCTTTCTTTCTCTACTACTTTTTCTTTCTCCTTTTTATTTTTCTTCTTTTTCTTTATCGTTTTTCTTTTCCTTTTTTCCCCTTTTCCTTTTTCCTTTTTTCTTTTCCCCTTTTTATATTTTTTATCTTTTTATCTTATATTCTTTATCATCTATTTTCTTTATCATCTATTTTCTTTACCATCTTTTTTCTTTATCATCTTTTTTCTTTATAATTTTTTATATTTTTCCCTTTCTTCTTTATACTTTTCTCATCTTTTCCCCTTTCTTTTTTATCTTTAAAAAAAAAAAGTTTTCTCTTTTCTTTTTATCTTTTCTTTTTATCTTTTCTATATTTTTTATCTTTTTTATCTTTTCCCCTATCTTTTTTCTCCCTTTTCCTTTCCTGCTTTCCCCTCTCCTATAACTTTAAGCACTGAACTCTGCTTTTTCCTATGATTCATGGAACTCTGAAAAACCAGGAAGGCGCCGGTGGCACCGGGCAAATCTCACCACTGCCAGGGATCCAGGGGCAGCCACAGCTGCTCTGAGCACCTGTGCCAGTCCCTGCCCACCCTGCCAGGAACAATTCCCAATTCCCAATATCCCATCCATCCCTGCCCTCTGGCAGTGGGAGCCATTCCCTGTGTCCTGTCCCTCCATCCTTGTCCCCAGTCCCTCTGCAGCTCTCCTGGAGCCCTTCTCCTCTCCAGCCAGGGGCTCTGAGCTCTCCCTGGATCCTTCTCCTCTCCAGGTGAGCACCCCCAGCTCTCCCAGCCTGGCTCCAGAGGGGCTCCAGCCCTGCAGCAGCTCCAGCAGCTCCATAACTTCCCTCTGGTGTCCCTCTCTGCTTCCCTGGAGCCCCTGGAGCTGAGCTGGCCCCAGCTGCAGCAGCAGAAGGAGCCGTCCCTCCCTGTGGCTGGCTGTCCCTCAGCAGTGGCTCGGTGTTCCCCATCCCTTTGTGACTGTGCTGTCCCCAGCAGGATGGAATGAGTGACTCAGCCTGGAAAATCCCATTGCTGCCAGCCCAGCCGAGGGAGGGCCCAAGGAGGGTTTGGGTCCAGCAGCGCTGCTCTGGGAGATCCGGTGGTGCACAGAACACACCCACAGCTCCGTCCTCCAGAGGCTCAGCCCGTGGGCTTGTCCCTGATCCTGGGGCGAGATCCACTCCTCTCTGCTGAGGGAATGCTGGGCTGGTTTGGGGAGCAGCAATCCCAGAGTCTGCCTGTTCATCCACTCACCTCTGCCACTCACTGTGTGTTCTCTGCGTGCAGCTCTGCTCCTCCATCCCAGCCCTGCTCCCGCGGCCCTCCCGCTGCCATCCTGGTGGGATTTGCCCTGGGAAGGTGGCACTGGGGGCTGGCACTGGTGAGAGCCAGCCACAGCCTCACCTCTCACATCCTGTGCTCTGAAACACCAGCCTGCTTTCAGTCTGTGCCACTGAGCTCAGCCCTGGCCAGGACTGCTCACCCTCCTGCAAGCCCCACGAAGGCTCAGGGATGGGAGAGGCTCCCCCAGATCCCATCATTTTTTAAGGATTATCCCCAGTTTGGTTGTGAGGCTGCCCCAGATCCCATCATTTTTTAAGGATTATCCCCAGTTTGGTCGTGGGGCTGCCCCAGCCGCTGCTGGCTTTGCCCTGGCACGTTTTCAGGAGGGTTCTGCTGAGCCAGGCACTTCTCTGCAGCTTTGCTCGAGCCTTGGTCACAATCTGGGCTTTGATCTCCGCTCTGTGTGCTCAGAAATCCCCCAAGGCCTAGGGTGTTACTGAGCTCTGTGACACCTCCCAGCCTGAAATCCAATTTTAGCCCCTGCAGTGCCTTTATCTGCCACCCCATCTCTCCACAATTTACTGACAGCCAGACCCTGGCAGGGCTTCCAGCACGGCTGGGGCTGCACACCCAGAGCCAAACCCAGCAGCAGAGGAGACTCAGGGCAGGTTCCCATCCTCTCCTGGTCCTGCTGCTCTTCCCAAAGGCTTTGAGAGGCTTTTGGCCTTTGGTGCTGAGGCTTTGCCAGCTGCACTAACCCAGACTCTGTAGATGAGGAGCAAATGAAGGTCACGCCATCAGTTGGTGACTAAGCTGAGCCTAAACCCAGCTCTGTGCTGCCAACCTCAAACCAGAATAAATTCCACGTCCTCCTGCATGGCAGTGGCACCAAGGGTTTAAAACTGCAGCTCAGATGCACGTTTAATACACCATTTATTGTGTGTTAAATTTATTCATTGTTTCTTCAGTCTCGTTTCAGGTTAAATCACTTCTGAGCTGACTTTTTGGAGAGGTGAACAAGTCCCACGGGGGAGTCTGGCTGATCTCTGGGGTGGTGGGATCTCCTTGCACCTTGGGCTCCCCTTGTGAGGAGCTCTGCAGGGCTGCAGTTCAGAGCAGGGGTGGGTGGCTCTCTCTGCTCTCTCTGAATTCTCTGCTCTCCCACCCCCTGAACTGCCTGCACCCCATTCCTTGTTTCTTTTCACTTGTTCCCTCCTTCCCTTTATATAAAAACCTTTCTTTGTCAGAACTTTGGTGGTGATGGGACAGCACCGTGGTGCATCTCTGGGGGTCCTGAAAACTGTGGAGCTCATTCCTGAGCCGATAAACAAGTGGGAATCTCTGCCACTGGATCCGACTGCCAATGGTAAAACCAAACTGAAAACAGGGGATAGAAAACCCTGATATCAAAAATGAGGGGGTTTGTAATATTTGAGGGAAGGAGGGAACCCTGAGAAGTTAAATCAGCTGGGAGTGACTCTGTGACGGGATTCATGGGATGCCCCATTCCTGGGAGTGTTCCAGGCCAGGCTGGATGGGGCTTGAGCAGCCTGGGATGGTGTTTGGGATCACAGAATCCCAGAATGGTTTAAATCCCACCCAGTGCCACCCCTGCCATGGCAGGGACACCTCCCTCTGTCCCAGCCCCAGTGTCCAGCCTGGCCTTGGGCACCGCCAGGGATCCAGGAACAGCCCCAGCTGCTCTGGGCACCTGTGAAATATTTCCTTTAGCAGAAATATTCCCTTTATTAGCAGAAATATTTCCTGCATCTCCCAGGGATCAGTGGGAGGGTGGCACTGGTGGCTCTCTGGTGTCCATCCGTGGTGGGAGCTGGGAATTCTCCATCCCTGCCCTGCTGCTGGGAGAACAGGAGCTGTGCTCCTCTGCCCATGGGATTTGTAGGATTCCCAGGGCTGGAAATCCACCCAGCAGCTCCTGAAGGGCAGGACCAGCCCCGTTTGCTGGCTGGAGGAGCATTCCCCCCCGAGCTTTGGCAGCTCAGGTGAAAGAGCACCACAAGTCTCAGGATGTGGACGCTGAAAAAAAATAAAGCTTCCCCCCCCTCCTCATGTTTGGGCTGCTCAGAGTCGTGTGGTGTTCTTGTACAATTTCCTTCCTGCCCAGGCAGCACTCTCTAATTTAGTTTTGAGCTCCCTGCCATGCCACACTCCCATTTCTGTGTTGGTTTTCTGCTTCTGAGGGAGAATCCTCCCCTCCTTGGCAGGGCACTGCCCCTCTGGAAGCAGTGACAGATTCCTGGGGCAGGGAGGAACAGGCACAGCACACGCGAGGGGGGTTTGGAAGGCTTGAGGACAAACAACAAAATTAATCCACTTGTGCAACAGCTGATGGAGAAATGCTCACAGTACCTAGGAACAACTGGGAAAAAAAAATAAATTGGGAATATTTTGTAAGTCCCAGAACACCTGGAAATGGTTTCAGGGCTGCTGAAGGAAGGAGGCTGCTGTGTTTCACCTCCTGGGTGCCCAGAGATCCAAATCCATGCTGGATAAATCCCATTTTCCTGGGCCACACTGCCCTTCCCAGCCAGGCTGAGGGGTGACAAGGTGCTGTGAGATGATAAATCCCTCACCCAGAGGGAAGGGTTTGGCCAGTGACCAGTGTTTTGTCACTGTTTTTAGATCAGCCTGGCAGCAGGTGGAGGTTTGTTCTCACCTGAGTGGGTTTTTATTGGGAACGGGAGGAAAATGGAATACAGAAAATATTCCGTGTTCTTGGTACCAATGTGACACATAAATCCTCCTTGGCATGGTATCTGTTCATGAGGAGCAATCCCAAAATATTTTCCACTTCTCTGCCAGGATGTCTGAGGGATTTTTTAATCCATTTTAACTGCAATTAGCTCCAGGAATGAAGTGCTCCAAACTTTTGGGAATGAAGTGCTCCAACATTTGAGAATTAAATGCTCCAAACTCTTGGAAATGAAATGCTCCAAACATTTGGGAATGAAATGCTCCAAACTTTGGGAATGAAGTGCTCCAAACATTTGGGAATGAAGTGCTCCAAACCCTTAACGAGAGGACGATGCTGAGCAGTAATTGAAGATAATTGCATCCTGCAGGAATCTCCTGCTTGGCATTTCAGGAATCCAAGCTTTATGGGTTTTTTTTGCTTCTGCCAGTGTGAAGTAAGGTTAAAACTGGGATTTGCCGGCCCAGGATTCCCAGGCAGCCACAAGATCCTGCAGTGGAGTAAGAGAGCAACATTCCACTCGGGAGTTTTGCTCTGGCTCTCCCATCGGCAATCCCGGTGCTGACACCGCCTCGGCCGCTGCTCCAGGGCTTTATCCCCAATTCCAGCTGCTCTCAGAGCAGCCCTGCCATGCTCTGTGGGAGGCAGGGTCCCTGTTGGTGGCTCTCAGGCAGGACAGCAGCTCCTCGGGGACCAGCATCTGCTCGGGGCCATCGCCGGGCGGCTCCCAGCGCCGCTCCGGGACGGATCCGTGTCCGGCCTGCCCCGGGAATTCCAGGCTGCTGTTGAGCACCAGGTTGATCTTGTCCAGCAGGCACAGCTGGGGTGTCCCTCCCTGCTGCTCCCACAGCTGGGGGACGGGGCTGCTGTAGTCCAGGCAGGACATTCCCACCTCTGCTTGCGGGATGGCCGCGGGCGGCTGCGCCTGGTGGATCCCGGCGGCCACGTATCCCAAAGCGTTCCCGCCGGAGAGCTGGGGCTTGTAGGCACCCAACTGCCCCGGGGACGGGCTGCTGGGGACCACCACGGTCCTTGGGACCTCCCTGGGCTCGGGCACCTCCGCCCTGGCCTCGCTGTCCAGGCTCTGGTGCTGCTCCTGCGCCGGCACCTCCTGGACATCCGAGAGTGCGGGGTCAGCGGAGGCCAGGAAGGGCTCCTGGAGGATGGAGCTGGGGAAATCTGCCTTGTCCTGGGGAAAAACGAGGGCTGAGGCAGCAGGGTTTGGTAACAGGAGAGCTCTCATTAGGGCTTGGAGCAGCCTGGGCCCAGGGAGGGAATGGGATGAGATGTGAGGTCCCTCCCGGCCCCGGGCAGCTGTGGCCATGGAATACAGAAAATGTGGAATTCAGGTTTAACAGATTACAGAAAATGTGGAATTCAGGTTTAACAGAGTACAGAAAATGTGGAATTCAGGTTTAACAGATTACAGAAAATGTGGAATTCAGGTTTAACAGAGTACAGAGAATGTGGAATTCAGGTTTAAGGGAATACAGAAAATGTGGAATTCAGGTTTAAGGGAATACAGAAAATATGGAATTCAGGTTAGATGGAATACAGAAAATGTGGAATTCAGGTTTAAGGGAATACAGAAAATGTGGAATTCAGGTTTAACAGAATACAGAAAATGTGGAATTCAGGTTTAAAGGCCTCAGAGATTCCAGCCTGGGAAATGATTCCTGAGCAGTTCCCAGCACCTCAGAACTGAAGCCTCTCCCCATCCCTGTTCCTCACAGCAGCTGCCCTCTCCCAGCTAGCAGGGAATATTACCAGAGAAGATGGCCTCAACTCATGCCAGGGGAGCTTTAGGTTGGATTTTTAGGGAAAATTTCTTTGTGGAAAGGGCTGTCCCGCCCTGGCACAGGAGTGGAGTCCCCCTCCCTGCAGGGATTTAAAATCGGGACAGTGCTGGTTGGACTCGATGGTCTCAGAGGGATTTCCCACCCTGAATAATTCAGTAAAGCCAAGCTTTAATGTGAGGGGAAGCAAAGCCAGGAGATAACTGTGCCCTCACCTGCAGTGACTTCACCACGCTGCTGTTCTCCACGCGGGGAAAGTCCTCAAGCAGCCACTTGGGCAGCAGGGACACCAGGGCGGCCTTAACCCTTCACAAAAGGCAAAAACAAACCCCAAACGTTACTCCAGTGGGTTATTCAGATATTCCTCATGCAGGATGAAACTGTCTGGGTGGGAAGGACACATGAAGAACACCCAGACTTGGAAACTCTGGGTTCCCCGTTCCTTAATTTCACCAATTTCATGTTTATTTGACTTTTTCTGTTGGTCTCTGCCTTACTGTAGAGCACCAAAAGTCTTTTCATATAACAGTCTGATAAATGTGTGAGATTACCCTCAGGCTGAGGTGAAAAGGACTCTGTCATTGGTTTTAAAACATCCCAGAAGAAGTTTTATATTTCTTCTATATACAAAAAAAAAAAAAAAAAAACAAAAACCAAAAAAAACCAAAAAAAACCAACAACAACAACAAAAAAAAAGAGTAAAAACTTATGAATTGGAAATAAGAAAAGAAGATATGGAGGAGCAAGGAATACCTTTTCCTGACTGATTTTTTAAACATCACAATTGCAAAGAGAACGGATAATCCGAGCACGCTGAGGCTCAGTCCCAGGAAAACTCGGATGTCATCATCTGCAGGAGGAGGGACAGGGAGGAGGTCATGGCCTCGGTGCTGCAGTCACTCACCATTTCCTGCCCCAGCTCAGAAATGCTGATGTGAATTCCTCAGCCCGGGCTGGTTTTGCTTTTGGTTTAAGAGCTGCAGGGATGGTGACCTTTACAAGCAGAGCACCCCCAAATGGTGGAACTGCTGAAACAAGCCCCTGGTCCTGGCTGCAGGGTGGAATCAGCCCTTTGCATAGGTTAATTTGATATTTCCCTGGTTTTGGCTGTCCCCCTTGGACTGGACATTGTATTTTAACCTCGTTAGAAAGCAGAACTCAAACCCACCCTGCATTCTGTGGGTGCTGCTCACCCCCGACAGCACACAGCCTTCCCTGAACGTGGGGAAAACCTCCTTTATCGGCTCTGACCCCCCCAAAGCATCTGGGAGCTCCCAATTCCCGCTGCCAGGAGCTGCTGGGGTTAAACCTCCCGCTGGTGGCCAGGAGAAAGCCTGGCTTAGCAAGGCAGGGCTGCCCTCCTTACCCTGGGACGGCTCGCTGTAGGCGCTGCCCAGGAGCGGCTCCTCCGCAGGGGCTGCAACAGAGAGGGGGGGGGTTGTCTGTGGTGCCTTTACAGGGCTCTGGGTGACACAAAACCTGCCTTGGTTCTGTCTTTTTAGGAAAATAAGCAGTGGTGTAACGAGAAGAGTTAAGCTCCCTGAAGTCATGGGTGACTCCAGCTCTGCTGGGCTCTCCAGTGTCCCCACAATTAAATGAGGTGCTGGTCAGCTCCTGTCCCCACCTACAGAACCTCTTCCCGGCACATCCCTCCCTCCCCTCAGCACCCAAAACAAGGATTTAGTCCCCCTGGGGAGATCCATCATTTTTCACAAGCATTCCCAGGCTGTTTAACGGGTTTTCCAGAGAAGTTGTGGATCCCTGGCAGTGCCAGGCTGGAGCAGCCTGGGATGATGGGAGGTGTCCCTGCCATGGCAGCGTGGCACTGGCTGGGCTTTGAGTCCCTCCCAACCCAAACCAGTCTGGGATTCTGTGATTCCCAAAGTGCCTGCACCCCTCGGGAATGAATTTCCTGGTTATTTCCATGCAGTGAGGGAAGGTCTGCAGCTGAGGACCCTGCCATGGCAAGAAGCCTCTTTGAGCTGACATCAGCAGCCAGCTTTGATCCTGGCCAATTCAGCAATTCCCTCGGGATAACTTGTCCTTGATTTGGTGCCACAGAGGAGAGCCCTGCTCTGAGGACCCAGCTCTGGGGTCTCAGACCCAGCTCAGGGGGCTCAGACCCAGCTCTGGTGTCTCAGACCCTCCTCTGGGGGCTCAGACCCAGCTCTGGGGCTCAGACCCTGCTCTGGTGTCTCAGACCCAGCTCTGGGGCTCAGACCCTCCTCTGGGGGCTCAGACCCAGCTCTGGGGGCTCAGACCCAGCTCTGGGGGCTCAGACCCAGCTCTGGAGGCTCAGACCCTGCCCTGGGGGCTCAGACCCAGCTCTGGGGGCTCAGACCCTGCTCTGAAGGCTCAGACCCTGCTCTGGAGGCTCAGACCCAGCTCTGGGGGCTCAGACCCAGCTCTGGGGGCTCAGACCCGGCTGTGTTGCTCAGATCCAGCTCTGATGTCTCAGACCCAGCTCTGATGTCTCAGACCCAGCTCTGGTGTCTCAGACCCAGCTCTGGGGGCTCAGACCCTGCTCTGGAGTCACAGACCCCGCTCTGGTGTCACAGCTTGGCCTCTCCCTCGAGGCCCTGCCCAGCTCTGGAGGGCGCCCAAAGCCGCCCCCGGTGATGGAGAGGAGGTTTTCCTCCCCTGAACCCTTCCCAGCACTGAAGCTGCCTGGCCCAGCTGCACATGTCCCTTCCAAGCGCTCTGTGATTCCCACTGCAGGTGGGAAGGGCAGGCTGGCCCTGCTCTCTGGAAAAGCTCTATTTTGCTTTTATATTTTGCCTTTTTTTTTTTTTTCTTTTTTTTTTTAAATATCTGCTGTATTTTGGTTTATGTGTGACATCTTATTGTGAGTTCTGCATGTGCAACCTCACTTTTCTGCCACGGAAAGGGACAACAACTCCACTGAAGGAAAATGAGGTTCTTGGGTGTTCTGGGTCTGTGCAGGGAGCAAAGACCAGCTAGAGGTGGATTTTACATAAATACATTGATTACATGTATTAAATTTGGGGTTTACACGAATACATTGATTAAATGTATTAAATACACTGATTAAATGTATTAAATTTGGGTTTTACACAAATACATTGATGAAATGTATTAAATACACTGATTAAAAGTATTAAATTTGGAGTTTACACAAATACATTGACTAAGTGTATGAAATACACTAAATGTATTAAATACATTGATTAAATGTATTAAATTTGGGGTTTACACAAATACATTGACTAAGTGTATGAAATACATTGATTAAGTGTATTAAATACACCGATTAAATGCATTAAATTTGGGTTTTACACAAATAGATTGTGTATTAAATACATTGATGGAATGTATTAAATACACCGATTAAATGCATTAAATTAGGGTTTTACACAAATACAGGGATGGAATGCGTTTTATCTTTCCGTGCCCTGCTCGGGGCAGGGTTTGCCCGGTCCCCAGCCCGGGGGATGCCCCAGGTGAGGAGCAGCAGCCTTTCCCCGGCAGGCTCACCTGGGCGGGGGGCGCTGATCCCGCCGGGATACACCGCGTACAGCCGCACGCTCGGGAGAGCCGCTGCCCCTGCCGGGAGAGGACAGATTTACCTCCCAAAAATGGGATTTTGCCTGCGGGGAGGCTCTGGGCTGGGCCAGGGGAGGGTTACCCAGTGCTGAGAGCGGCTGGGGTGGCCCTTGTGGGTCTGGGGTCGTTCCTGGCCCACCAGCTCATTTTTAATTCATTTTTTTTCCCTCCCCATCCCCTCCCTCCCCTGTGAGCGTCACCCAGGGACCCAATCCCACTGTCTGCCCTCAAATCTCCAACTGCTGCCCTCCTCCTCCTCCTCCTCCTCCTTCCCTAAGGGCTCTCCATGGCCCCACTCCCCAAAAACAAGTGGGCAGGGGCTCACACTCAAATGAAGGTGCCTTTGTATTCTGATTTGGATTTATAATCTATTTGGGATTGATAGCCTGATTTGGATTTGTGCTCTAGTTTGGATTGATAGTCTGATTTGGATTTATAATCTAATTGGGATTTATAGTCTGGTTTGGATTTATACTCTAGTTTGGATTGATAGTCTGATTTGGATTTATAATCTAATTGGAACTGATAATGTGATTTGGATTTATAGTCTAGTTTGGATTGATAGTGTGATTTGGATTTATACTCTAGTTTGGATTGATAGTCTGATTTGGATTTATGCTCTAATTTGGATTAATAGTCTGATTTGGATTTATACTCTAGTTTGGATTGATAGTCTGATTTGGATTTATAGTCTAATTTGGATTTATAATCTAATTCTGGTTTATAGTCTGATTTGGATTTATAATCTAATTGGAACTGATAATGTGATTTGGATTTATAGTCTAGTTTGGATTGATAGTGTGATTTGGATTTATACTCTAGTTTGGATTGATAGTCTGATTTGGATTTATAATCTAATTGGGATTGATAGTCTGATTTGGATTTATGCTCTTATTGGGACTGATAGTCTCATTTCGATTTATGCTCTAATTGGGATTGATAGTCTCATTTCGATTTATGCTCTAATTGGGATTGATAGTCTGATTTGGATTTATGCTCTAATTGGGATTGATAGTCTGATTTGGATTTATACTCTAGTTTGGATTGATAGCCTGATTTGGATTTATAATCTAATTGGGATTGATAGTCTGATTTGGATTTATAGTCTGATTTGGATTTATAATCTAATTCTGGTTTATAGTCTGATTTGGATTTATAATCTAATTGGAACTGATAGTGTGATTTGGATTTATAATCTAGTTTGGATTGATAGTCTGATTTGGATTTATAATCTACTTCTGGTTTATAGTTCGGAATCTAATTCGGATTAATAATCTGGTTTGGATTTCTAATCTAGTTGGGATTCATATTCTGCTTTGGGTTGATAAGGTGCTGAGGAGCTGTGCCAGGCAGAAGAGGGGATCCTGGGTGTCCTACCTTGGATGTAGGTGTGCGTTTCCCCGCGTGGGATTCTCTCCCAGCAGAACTGCTCCTGCTGGCCGTGCTGGGGGCTGGAGAGCCACTCCAGGATGAACCAGAGCGGGGGGCTCTGGCTGGCCTGGGGGGGCTGCCACTGAACCAGGACCCTGCTCTGCTGCTCAGGCTTCACCTCCACGGCCTCTGGGGCTGGGAATTCTGTGGAGAAAGAGGGAAAGGGCTGTCAGCCCAAACTCATCCTTGGAGACTGGGAAGGGTCAGCCCAGCCCAGGGCAAATGTGGCTTTCCTGGAAGGCTTTGAAAACTGAAGGGTGAACAGGGAATTATAGAATATGGTGGGTTTATAGCTAAACAGAAAGATTTATACACATATTCTATCTTTATGTATTGATCTGTATTTCACAGAATTATTCAGGTTGAAAAAGCCATGTGGCTTTTGAATCCCTCCAGGGATGGGGACTCCACCCCCACTCCAGGCAGTTGTGCCAGGGCTGGAGAATTTTCCAGGAAGGAATATTCCCAAAATCCACCCTGAGCTCCCCTGGCCCAGCCTGGGGCCGTTCCCTCTGCTCCTCCTAAAAGGATTTAAAAGGGTTTTTTTTTCCCCCCCTTCTTTTTCAGTTTGCAGGGACCCAGCTCACAGTGGGGGCTGGCAAAGGCTGCAGGAGCTGCTCTGGAGCAGGGGAGCAGCCTGGCACCCTTTGCTTTGCCAGACAACACGGGCAGGGCAAATTTAAAAATAAGTTTGTTGCTGCAGCTTCAGGAGATAAAGGGCTGAGATTCCAGAGCCTGAAGGGGCTCCAGGAGAGCTGGAGAGGGACTGGGGACAAGGCATGGAGGGACAGGACACAGGGAATGGCTCCCACTGCCAGAGGGCAGGGATGGATGGGAGATTGGGAATTGGGAATTGTTCCCTGGCAGGGTGGGCAGGGGCTGGGCTGGAATTCCCAGAGCAGCTGTGGCTGCCCCTGGATCCCTGGCAGTGCCCAAGGCCAGGCTGGATGGGAGGTGGGAGGTGTCCTTGTCCACGGGACAATGAAATGAGCTGAGCTTTGAGGTCTCTCTCAACCCAAACCACTTCAGAATTCCATGATGCCACATCCAGCTGGGGAGCATCTCCAGGGGACTTGTCTGGAGGACTCTGCGCCCCCGGTGGCTCGGGCAGAGCTGTGCCAGGGCGTGTCCCCGCACCCCGGGCACGATGCGCTCCGTCCCCGTGGTTGCCCCGTACCTTCCTGCTCTGCAGCCCGGTTCAGGGGGATGCTGGCCGGGCTGGAGACCCCTTTGGCGTTGCGGGCGGTGACGAGGAGGCTGCGGGCTCCGGGCGGCACCAGCACGGTGCACTCGGTGCCGGCGGTGCGGCACAGCGGCCGCGCTCCCGCCGCGCTCCCGGCGCTCACGGCGTAGCCCAGGATCCGCCCGCGGGCATCCCGCGGGGCCAGCGGCTGCGGGGCACAGCGACAGGGTCTGGGCATGGCCGAGACACCTGCACCGCTGTGCCCCGCCTGGTGGGCTTTTACGGGGATGGGGGGATTTGGCTCCGAGCCGGGCTGGGGTTTTCCTGCCGTCCCCGCGGCCGAAGGGCTCCTCGGGGAGGGCGGCACCGGCGGCCGCTCGGGGAGGAGCAGCGGAGCCGAAACCCCGCGGAGGCTGCCCCGACCCGCCTTACCTTGATCAAGACCGTCACCTCGCGGCTGCCGTCGGGCAGCGCCCGGCCCAGGCGCCGCCACACGGCGGGAGCGGCGGCGGGGGCTGCGGGAGGAGCGGGGACAGCGTGACACACCGGAGGGACACCGTGACACACCGGAGGGACACCATGACATACCGGAGGGTACCCCGCGAGTGACACCGTGACACACCGGAGGGACACCGTGACACACCGGAGGGCACACCGGGAGTGGCACCGTGACACACCGGGAGTGACACCTCGAGGGGGACACCGTGACACACCGGAGGGACACCATGACATACCGGAGGGTACCCCGCGAGTGACACCGTGACACACCGGAGGGACACCGTGACACACCGGAGGGCACACCGGGAGTGACCCCGTGACACACCGGAGGACACCTCTAGGGGGGACGCCGTGACACACCGGGGGTGACACACCGGGGTGGCCGGGGGCTCCCGCACAGCCGCAGCCCCCCAGGAAGCCCCTCCCGCCCGGGCTGCCAGAGGAGAGGGCACAGACGGAGAGCAGCGCGGGCGCTGCTGTTTGGGGTGAGAGCACCCCCCGTTCCCCCTGGGCTCCCCGGGATGGCCCAGCCGGCCGTGCCAGGCTCGTGCCCAGGCCAGCAGCTGGCATGGATGCGCGGAGCTGCCTCAGGGTGACAGCGATTTGTCGCGACACCTCGGCTGATGTGATTTTTTCCACCCAGGGCAGCAAGCAAGGCACTAAGGATGCTGGAATCTGCTCGGTGGGAAAAGCCCGCTGAGAACATCCAGCCCAACCACCCCCAGCGTTGCCGAGGCCACCACTGCCCCGTGTCCCCAAGTGCCACATCCGCAGGCACTTTGAACCCCCTCCAGGGTGGGGACAGCTGTGCCAGGGCTGGCAAATGCCACTCGCGGGTGTCACCGGCGCTGAGCCCACCTGCTTCGGGGGTGCGGTACAGGAAGGGGGGGCTCCAGGCGCTCCAGGGGCTGTGGGCGGTGCCGAGCCGGCACCTGGCCTGGAACACGAACTCGGTGTCGCTCTGCAGCTCGTGCTGCCAGCGGGGACCCTCCTGTGGCACCTTGTCACACAGCTCCACCTGCGAGGGAAGCAGGGCGCTGGGGGAGCGCGGCCCAGCGGGTCCCCAGTGCCACTGCCACCCCCGGGCACGGGGCATGGGCACGACCCGCCCTGTCCCCTCCAGAGCCACCCTGCGGGGCACAGCCAGAGCCATGTGTCACCACGGGGATTTTGGGGCTCCTGTGGCAGCGGGGGTCAGGCTCAGCCCTGGCAGCACTCGGGGGTGTTCCCATCCCTGCCCCAGTGTGGTTTTGTCTGGGGTGTGCACTGAGCATCCCCCAGGATTTTGTGCCCTGTCCTCGCAAAGCGGAACGTTTGGAAATATTTGGAATTCCGTCTTTTTGCTCAAAAAGCTGAGCTAACCCTGCCCACGAGGCCCTCTGCTGCCCCCCGAGTGGGCCCTGCCTGGGGGTGCCCATTGGACCAGCACAGAGCAAAGGGGTGAGTTTGGGATGACCCCAAATATTCCCATTGCCCGCGGGGTCTCCAGCGGGAGCGGGACTGGCACCTCCTCACCGGGGACAGGTAGGGGGGGTTTGGGGGTCCCGGGGGGCTCACGTGCCACGTCGGGGTGCCCGTGGCCCTGTGCCTCTCCTCGCAGTGCACGCTCCTCAGCCGGGTCCGGCTCCTCCAGCGGGTGGTGGTGATGGCAGGGGACGTGTCCGTGGTCTCGGCGCCGACAGCCACGGGCAGAGTGGGCACCACTGTGGGGACAGGAGGGAAGGGAGGAGAGGGGGCTCTCCTTGGGCTCGGGGTGTCCCCACAGGGACACTGCAGGGCAGAGTGGCCACGCACAGCCCCAGCATGCTGTGCTGCTCACGGGGGGACGGAGGGAGGGAGGGATGATGGAGGGAGAGAGGGATGTGGAGGGATAATGGAGGGATGGAAGGATCGATGGATGGATGAGGGATGGAGGGAAGGATGGAGAGATGATGGATGGATGGATGGATGGATGGATGGATGGATGGATGGATGGACGGATGGAGGAAAGGAAGAATGGATGGATGGACAGATGGAGGGATGGATGGAGGAAAGGATCAAGGGATGGATGGATGGACAGAAGGAGGAAAGGATCAAGGGATGGATGGAGGAAAGGGTGGGTGGATGGAAGGAAGGATGGACAGGGGGACAGGTGGAGGGAAGGATGGACAAGTGGAGGGAAGGATGGACAGGGGGACAGATGGATGGATGGATGGACAGAAGGAGGAAAGGATCAAGGGATGGATGGAGGAAAGGGGGGACAGATGGATGGACAGGGGGACAGATGGACGGACAGATGGCCAGGTGGCCGTACCGAGCTCCTGCAGGCGGAGGCGCCGCGGGGCCGAGCGGGCAGTGCCCAGCGCGTTGCTGGCCTGCACCCACACCGAGTAGTGGCTGTCATTGTGCAGCTCTCTCAGCAGCACAGGTGAGTCTGCAGGGAAGGTCTTTTCTTCCTCATCTTCCTCATCCTCCTCACCCTGTGCCACCGCCCTGGAAGCAGAAGTGCCCATCCCAGCACCTGTCAGTGCCCGTCCCAGCATCTCCCCCCGCACTGGCACAGCCACCCTGGCTCCTGAGGTGTCACAGCTCGTGACCAGGGCATGGCCATCCCCAAACCCAGACTCTGTCACCCCTAAAGCAAGCTGGAAAGTCACTCCCTTCCCTGACACTGCTGCTGGGGATTTGTATTTTCACACTGGGAAGGGAACTCCTTCCTTCCTTTCTGGCTGCACGCTTCAGTCTGATCCCAAATTTAGGCAGGAGCTTTGTCCCTTCTCCTCACAAAACTTCCATCTGATGGGATTTAATATCCTTAAAACTGAATCAGGAGAACTGAGAGCCTGCCAGGCTGGAACCATGGGAACCAGCCACGGCATCCTGGGCTGGGCTGTGACATGCCAGGTGGCGCCGTGGGGACCTTGGTGGCAGGAGCATCCCCGGGTGGGGCTGTGCACACCGTGCAGCAGCCAGCACCTCTGCTTCAGCTTCAGGCTGGGCTTTGGCCTTTGGGCAGGGCTGGGTTCACCCCCTTTGTCTCGGAGGGAGCCCCTCCGCTGGAAGCTGACCTGCGGGGGCACGGTGGATGCGAGCCGGGCACTGCCCCTGCCCTGCAGAGCGCAGCCTGCGGTGCAGCCTGCGGCTCTCGGGCAGGAGGTGACAAAACGTGAGCTGTAGGAAGTGGAACTGGGGCACGGCAGCCCCGCTGTCACCGGGGCTGTCACCGGGACTGTCACCGGGTGCCACCCCCGGGGGCTCACCTGCGCAGGTGGAGGCTGTGCCGGGTGGGCAGGTGCGTGACCCGTCCCGGCTCCCAGCCGCACTCCAGGCGCTCCGAGCCCTCGGCGATGGCGCAGCTCAGGTTGCCGGGGGGGTCCGGGGGGTCTGCGGGGGCGAGGCCGGGTGAGGGCACGGCCCCCCCGGCTCCGCGGGGCTCGGCAGGGGCTGGGGGCACTCACAGCCCGCCCGGAGCTCCGTGCCGCACAGCAGGCGGTCGCTCTGGGGACAGCGGGAGAAGCAGGCGACAACGGCGAAGGGCATCTGGAAGCGGCGCAGCCGGAGCAGCACGGCGCCTCCGGGCAGGGCCAGCGGGGTCCCCGGGGGGCGGCTGTAGTTGAGGAGGATGAGGAGCTGCTGCGAGGGGCAGCCCAGCCAGGAGCGGCAGCCCACGGCGATGTCGGAGCCCAGGCGCACCACGGGCGCGGGCTCGATCCACACGCGCCCCTTGCACTCGAAGCTCTCAGCACCTGCCAGAGAGGGTGGGCTCGGGGGGCTGTCCCGGGACAGCAGCGGGTGGGCTCCGGGGCCGTTCCGGGACAGCAGCGGTGGGCTGCGGGGCTGTCCCGGGACAGCAGAGGGTGGGCTCGGGGGGCTGTCCCGGGACAGCAGCAGGTGGGCTGCGGGGCTGTCCCGGGACAGCAGGGCTCGGCAGGGAGCGGCTTTGCCCCCTGGGATGCAGCCGCAGCAGGGCTGGAGCCTGCAGCCAGGGGATTACAGCCCGCCCTGCTCACTTTCAGTCCCAGGGGTGAGGGTAAAAAGGGGGCACGAGTGATGCCGGGGAGAAGCTGCTCCCCCTGAGGGTGGGCAGGCGCTGGCACGGGGTGTCCAGAGGAGCTGTGGCTGCCCCTGGGTCCCAAAGCCAGGCTGGGTGGGATTGGGACACTCTGTCCCTGCTGGGATGAACCCCCCACCGCTTCCCCCGCTGACTCATCCCGGCAGTCAGAAACGGCCCGTTTCGCCGGTTTCACCGATTTCAGCTTTTGCTCTAATGTTTAAATGACTGCAGGGAAATAACCTGCGCTCTGAGAGCTCTGATCCCCAAGATTAGGGCGGCGGGGGCGCTGCCCTTCCCTATCAGATGAAGCTCTGCAGCAGCCCCGGCTCTCAGGCGCTATCGGCTCCATCTGCCCTTCCTGGAAAGGGCAGGGCTGTGCTCGGGGCTGCAGGGGCAGAGCTGGGCACAGGGGCTGCAGGGGGCTGGGAATGGCCCCGGGAGCCTGGGATTGTCCCCGTTCCAAGGAGGGGAGAGGAAAGGAGAAGAAACTGCAGGGCACGGGACGCCCCCCTGCAATGCTCCCCCTCAACCCCACAGCTCTGTAATTGTCCTGTTCCCACCCCAAATCCCCCGCGGCTCCAGGGCGTGGCTCGGGTGCCATCCTGGTGGCCCTGTCGCCGTCACTCACCTGGGCACAGGCAGCAGAGCAGGACGGGCAGCACCAAAGCCTGGCCGGCCCCCGCCATGGGCTGGGCTGCGGCATAGTCTGGGGGGTAAAAAACCATGGAGCGAACCCTGCCGGGAGCGGGGAAGGCAGTGTGGGGTTGTGGCAGGGAGATCTGAGCAGCCCTGCCTTGGAGAAGGGGCGATTGGGGGGCAGGGGGTGCTGCCCCTCTGCCCAGAGCCCCCCGAGTGCTGCCTGCAGGGCTGGGCTCCCTCGGGGACAGGAGAGATGAGGACACTCTGGAATGAGGGTCAGGAGCACCTGGAAGTGTGAAAGTCTGGAGAGGAGGGGGCTCAAGGGGGATCTTTGGGGTGGATGTCTGGTGGGGGAGTAAAGGTGAGGGAACCAAACTCCTCCTGGCGTGGCCCAGGGACAGGACAGGAGGCAATGGGGTCAGGAAATCAGGAAATTCTAGCTAAACATAAAAAAAAAAAAGCTCTTTAAAGGTGGCCAGAGTGGGGCTGCTGCCCTGAGGGCTTGTCCTGCAGCCTCCATCCCTAGGGATGCTCAGACATGGTTTTATGGGATGGAAACTCCCTGTTTCCATAACATCTTTCCCACAGGTCCTGTCCAGGCTGAGCCAGGCTCTTCCCAGCAGTGAACCCCTTGAGACAGCCCCAAAATCCCAGGCCAGCCCTTCCCACCCAGCCCAAGGAGTCACCCGTGTTCCTGCATCCCACAGTTGCTCAGATTTCCCCCTGCTCCCTTTGCCCCTCTCCACAGCCTCTTTGGGAGAATTCCCACAAGCCAGGAAAGAGTTCCCAACCTCGCCAGCCTCGTGGGGCTGGATGTGGGGCTGGAAGGGCTCTGCAGCACGCACTGCACCGGCTGCTGAGGAGCAGGGAGATGCAGCTCCCGGGGGAAACTGCTCCTTTCCAAGAGAAACATCCTCCTGGAAGCATCCCCCTGGAGCTGGGGTGGCTCCAGTGTCCCCACAGGCCCCTCTGGGGTCACAGAGCAGACCCTGAACCAGCCCTGCACCCCCATTCTCCTGCCCGGGGCTGAGCACCCAGCCAAGCCCATGCTCCCTCGTTTCCCTTCCCCGTGCAATACCTGCTGTCAGGAATGGCAAGTTTCCCTGGAGGGAGGCCAGAGTCCTCAGTGAAAGCTTCAAAATGCTGTTTTTCAGCCCAAACCAGGCCAGCAGCAGCAGCAGCAGCAGGAGCAGTGAGTGCCTTGGTGCTTCTCGTGCGGGGTGAGGTGACCTGGTTTGGTTTTAGGGCTGATCAAGCATTCGTCGTGGGTGAGTCAAACTTCAAGTGCCTCCCAATTACCTGACCTACAAAGAGAGGCTGTGGGTTCCCAAGTGCCCACGAGCCTTCTGCAAGCCGGGGCAAATGAAAAAAAAAAAAAAAAAAAAAGGCAGTTGGGGTCCTATGAGAAGAGCTGGAAACTCTAAATCTGCCCAGCTCTGCGAGGGTGGCCGGCTCTGCCTCCTCTGGAATCACGTTTGTGTTTTTATTCCAGTTCAGAGGCAGACTCCACAGCCAGAGGAACGAGGCCGTTTGGAGATGCTGGGCTTTGAGTCCGTCTCTGGTGAAGCCTCCTGGTGCAGAAGAAATGGGAATTCAGCAGGGAAGGGAGAAGCTGCTCTGCGGTGCCACCCCAAATCCCGCGGAACCTTCCCCAGGAGCGGATAAACGCAGGGGCAGCGGGTGAGGAGCAGCAGCTGGGGCGTTTTGGGGTTAAGTGCAGGGGGCTGGGAGCCGGGAAAAGCAGGGAATCTTTACCTGGGCAGTCCTGGGGACGTGCGGTACCGGGAGCTGCAGCAGCAGCAGCAGCAGCAGCGGGGGCTGCCCTGCGCAGAGCAGCCGAGTTTCCCTCCCAGTCTGAGTCAGTCCTTGGGAAAACCCAGCATCCCTCCGAGCAGCAGCCTCGGGGCAAGGGGCACCCCGAAGCTCTGGCAGGATTTGGGCTCAGCCTGGTGGAGCTGAGCCCATCCCCAGGGGGTTGCTCAGGTCTCCCTGGGAGCACAGCAGGGTCCTGGGCGCTGTCAGGGAAAGAACTTTTCAGGGAAAGAACTTTTCAGGGAAAGAACTTTTCCTGCCGATCCCAGAGGCGTGCAATGCAAACTCCTTAAGGAACGGGGTTGATTTCACCAGCACTGAGTGTCACCCCCTCGGTGCCACCCCCTGTCACCCCCTCGGTGCCCGTGCTGTCCCCAGCTCACCCAAGGACGCTGCAGGCAGAGCATTCCCGGCGCTGGCAGATCCCAGGGATGCTCCAGGGATGCTCCAGGGATGCTCCAAGGCTCTGCAGCCCCGGCTCCCTCTGCTGCTCCCACAGCCCGGCTCGGCAGAGCCCGGCGCTTCCTTCCTCGTGCCTCTTAAAGAGTTAAACCTCAAAAAACAGTGTTAACCTCATCAGACACTGCAACCACAGGAAACCCCGCACTGCTCCCGCTCTGCCTCGCGGGAGGAAATGTCGGGGAGCAGAATTCACCCCCCGGGGAAAGGCAGAGCCTCCCGCCCTGGCTGCTCCGGGTTTTGGCTGATCCACGGGGATTTTTTGTGGAAGGGAGAGCGGGAGCCTGCGGGCACGGCGGGGGGAAAAGCCTCGCTGGGTGCTGTGGTTATGTAATGTGTGTAATGCACATAATGTATGTAATGTGTATAACATGTGTCATGTGTGTCATGTGCCCGTGGGGCGGTAGCAACTCCTGGGTTGGTGTGGTTACACACACCCCGAGCAGGACCGCGGGGGTTTAGTGGGAATTTCAGCTTTGGGATGTCCCGGGAGTGTTCAGTGCCCGGGGCACACAGCTGGGCTGCACGGCCAGCAGCACATCTGGGGGAGGACGGGCACACCTGGGCCCAGGTGGCACATCTGGAGCCAGGGCAGCACATCTGGGCGAGGATGGGCACACCTGGGCCCAGGTGGCACATCTGGAGCCAGGGCAGCACATCTGGGCGAGGATGGGCACACCTGGGCCCAGGTGGCACATCTGGAGCCAGGGCAGCACATCTGGAGCTGGCACAGTGGATGCCAGGACCGCTGTCAGGGCCCTGGGAGCCGCGGGTTCCTGCATTCCCGTCCCGTTTGTGTCCTTATCTCCTCCTGAGCACCGGAGCAGCAGCTCGGAGCTCCCTGGGCTCACAGCCGGCTCCTTCCCGCAGCTTTCTCCTTCCCCTGCTCAGGAATCTCAGCTGCTGTCGCCTTCCTCGGGGGCAGCCACACTGCCCCGGCTTTCCACCCCCCTGCCTGGGGCTCTGTGCTTTGTTTGGCATTCCTCAGAGCCCGGCGAGGGAAACTGAGGCAGGGTGAGTTGGGTTTAGGGCGAATCTCCTCCCTGTGGGGCTGGGGGGCCCAGAGCAGCCTTGGCTGCCCCGGATGCTGCAGTGTGAAAGGCCAGGCTGGGACAAGGTGGGACAGGGTGAGGTTTGTGCTCCCCTCCAGCCCAAACCATTCCAGGACTCTCTGATCCTCTGTCCAGAGGTAGAAACCATTCTGGTGCCCTGCAGAGAGTCCCTCCCAAGAGAGAAAATCCCCAAAAAAAGGGCCCCAAAAATTCCAAAAGAATTCTGGGGGGAACTTTTGGGTAGATTTGGGAATTTTGGGGGGAAAATTCAGGAATTTGGAGGAGTTTTTGGGGTATTACTGTAATATTTGGGGACTTTCTCTTGAAATTTGGGGAAAAATCTGGGAGTTTTGGGGAAAATCTGGGAGTTTTGAGGAATTTTTTGGGGCAATGTCAGGTTTGGCCCCACCCCCTGGCCCCGGCCTCACCTGTGAGTCCCAAAATTCGGGAATTTGGGGATTTTTGGGGAGATTTGGGAATTTGGGGATTTTGGGAATTCTGGGGGGAAATTCAGTTGGTTGGGGGGAGGGAAATTTGGGAAGTTTAGAGAGAATTTTAGGGGAAATTTGGTGAAAAAAATTGGAATTTAGGGGAGGGAATTATGGGAGTTTTGGGGAAAATTGAGAGAGTTAGGGAATGTTCTGGGAGTTTTGGGGCAAAATTTGTGGATTTTTGGGGGGAAAATCTGGAAATTTGGGGGGAATTTGGGAATTTTGGGGGATTTTTTGAGGTTTGGGTGTTTTAGATTTGTTTCTTTTGGGGGGGGGGGTCCCCGCAGCCCCTCGTAGCACAGCGGGAATGTTCCTTGGGATGGTGCCTTGGGATCCCAGCCTGGCACGGGGCTGGGCTCAGTGCCCCCAGCAGAGCCCAGGTTTGGGGATCCCTCTCCTGGGACACGGTGGGACACAGATGGGACATGGGGGACACAGTGGGGACACGGGGGACACAGATGGGACACAGTGGGGACACAGTGGGGACACAGTGGGACACAGATGGGGCACAGGTGGGACACAGTGGGACACAGTGGGACACAGTGGGACACGGGGGACATAGTGGGACACAGTGGGGACACAGTGGGACACAGATGGGACACAGTGGGGACACAGGTGGGACACAGTGGGGACACGATGGGACACAGTGGGACACAGGTGGGACACAGATGGGACACAGGCTCGGAGCCTTCTCGCCCTGCTGGCAGCTGCGAGGGGACACCCGGATCTTTGATCTTAAAACTGCCGCGGTGGCACCTGAGCCGGGGCTGAGGACACTCCTGTCCCCACGGCGGCTCCTGTCCCCCGGCGGGGGCTCCCGGGGACAGGGACATGCCCGAGGGACAGGGATGAGCGCTGCCTGCGTCAGTGCCCTGGCACGGCTGCAGGCAGGATTGGGTTCCTCTCGGCGCTGGAGCAGGGAATGTTCCCAAGGCTCGGGACAGCCCGGGAACCAGGAAGGTGATGCCAATGTCAAAGGGGGTTTGGCTGTGATTTTTGGCTGGGGTAAAAGGGCACCCGAGATAGGGAGAAGTTGCTCCTGGACTTTAAAGTCACTTTGTCCTTCCTGTGAGCCGTGCCAGGGAACAGCCCCTGCTCCTTCCCTGCTCTCAGGGCAGCAGCGCGGGCATGAATCAGCCGGGAAAGCAAAGTTTGGGCAGGGTTTGCTTTTCCCCGCCAGGGGAGCGTGCCGGGGCCGGCGCAGCTCCTGCCCCACCGTGCCCCATCCCCTCCGGAGGCTGCAGGCTGTGCCCAGGCAGGTCACGGCAGCTCGGAAATTGGGAACAACCCATCCCAAAAGGGGCTGTAAACACAGCCACGGCCACGGGCGGTGAATGTCCCGCTGCTGCCTTCCCTCCTCATTTCGGGAGTGATCCCCAAAGCGGCCCTGGAGGGGTTTAAAGGCCGTGTGGATAAAGGACAGGGACGGGGGTGGCCCTGGCAGCGCTGGCATGGTTGGACTGGATGGTCTGTGAGGGCTTTTCCCACCTGAATCACCCAAGGTTTTAAGGAATTGCTGCTATTCCCAAGCTGAGCTGATCCCCCATCCCCATTCCCCCCCAGCACGGGTGCAGCGCTCCCGTGGCTGCTCCTTTGTCCCTCCGCCCGTGTCCTGTCCCCTCGGGACATGGTGGGGACCGAGCTGTGCCCAGCGGGACCGGGCACAGGGAGCGGATTCCCCGCGGTGACACCGAGGTGTGCGTGCCACCCTTGTCCCCCAGCCCTCGATCTCCTCTGCGTCCCGTAGGGCGGAGGCGTTTTTGTGCTCCAAGCCGCCTCGTTTTGGGGTTTTTCCACTTGGCAGAGCATAGCCCCGAGGGGAAGATTTAATCTCTGAAAGGGAAGGGCCGGTGCCAAAATCCTGCGAGTGGGGTCACCCGAGGGCAGCAGCGGGCAGGAGCCGCCGTGCCAGGGCCAGCGGTGCCAGCACGGCCCTGACCCCCCTCTGCCCACACAGGGGACACGCCTTTGGTGTCCCCTGGTCCCTGCAGTGCCCCCGGGCAGTGCCACGCCGTGTGTCACCTCACCCACGTCCCCTTCCCCTCCTCATGCCCCCCACGCCAGACCCGGGGGTTCCCCTCACCAATGCTGCCCATGCCAACCCCCCGTGCGATGCCCCCCTTGCCAGCCCCGTCCCACCCCCATCAATGCCCCCATCCCAGCCCCTGTGCCACCACCCCACTGATGCCCTCTGTGCCACCACCCCACCCCTCACTGTCCCCATCCCATACCCCTGTGCCATGTCCCCATCCCTGTCCCCACCTCTGTGCCATGTCTCTGTCCCTGTCCCATCTCCCGTACCATGTCCCCATCCCTGTCCCCACCCCAGTGCCATGTCCCCGTCCCTGTCCCCCTCCCTGTGCCCCTGTGTCCTCATCCCTGTCCCTTGTACCATGTCTCCATCCCTGTCCCCCATCCCTGTCCCCACCCCTATCCCTGTCCCACGTCTGCACCCTGTCCTCACCCCTATCCCATATCCCTGTCCCCACCCCTATCCCTGTCCCCTATCCGTGTCCCCATCCCTATCCATGTCCCACCCCTGCACCCTATCCCCACCCCTATCCCTGTCCCCTATCCCTGTCCCCATCCCTATCCCTGTCCCATATCCCTGTCCCCACCCCTGTCCCTTGTACCATGTCTCCATCCCTGTCCCCCATCCCTGTCCCCATCCTCTATACCATATCCCCACCCCTGAACCCTGTCCCCATCCCTGTCCCCCCGTGTCCCCATCCCCTATACCGTGTCCCCCACCCCTGAACCATATCCCTATCCCTGTCCCCATCCCCTATCCCTGTCCCCATCCCTGTCCCACCCCTATCCCTGTCCCATATCCCGCTGCCGGGGGGGGGCCCGAGGGGGCGGCCGAGGGGGGAGCCCCCGCCGGAGCCCCCGCGCCCGGCGATGCGGAGCGGGGCATGGCGGCCCCGCCGCTCTGCCTGCGCCTGCTGGCCGCCGCCTTCTACGGCCTCAGCTCCTTCCTCATCGTCGTCGTCAACAAGAGCGTCCTCACCACCTACGGGTACGGCCGCGCCGGCGGGACCCCCCCTTCCCCGGGATTGGGGTACCCCCCTGGGATCGGGAATCCCCCCGGGATCGGGACCCCCCAGCCCGGGATCGGGGTACCCCCCTGGGATCGGGAATCCCCCCGGGATCGGGACCCCCCAGCCTGGGATCGGGGTACCCCCCTGGGATCGGGAATCCCCCCGGGATCGGGACCCCCCAGCCTGGGATCGGGGTACCCCCCTGGGATCGGGAATCCCCCCACCCTCTGGGATCGGGACCCCCCCACCCTCTGGGATCGGGACCCCTCCACCCGGGATCAGGAAGCTCCCGAGACCAGGACCCCCCCCACCCCGGGATCGGGAATCCCCCCGGATCGGGACTCCCCACCCTGGGATCGGGAGTTCCCCCGGGATCAGGACCCCCCACCCTGGGATGGGGAATCCCCCCTGGGATCGGCGTGGGGACCCCCATGGGATGGGGATGGGGACCCCGCCATTCCCCCCGTGTCACCCCCCCTGCCCCGGGTCCTTCCCAGCCCTCGGCACCCCCCTGCCGCCCCCCGCCCCGTGCTGCCCTGGGTGTCCCGCGGTGTCCCCGTGGCTTTGTGAGGGACCCCCGCTGTGGGACCCCCCCCGATCTGTGCTCTCCCCCCGCAGGTTCCCGTCCTCGCTGTGCGTGGGGCTGGGCCAGGTGAGTGGCACCCCCCGTGTCCTGCACGCCGTGTTCGGGGGGCCGTGGGTGACCCCTGCTCTCTTGCAGATGGTGGCCACGGTGGCCGTGCTCTGGGCAGGGAAGGCGCTGCGGGTGGTCAAGTTCCCTGACCTGGACAGACACATCCCCCGGCGGGTGAGACCCCTCCCCAGCACCCAAATCCCCTCCCCAGCACCCAAATCCCCTTCCCGGCACCCAAATCCCCTCCTCGGGCACCCAAATCCCCTCCCCAAGCACCCAAATCCCCTCCCCAGCACCCAAATCCCCTCCCCAAGCACCCAGATCCCCTTCCCAAGTACCCGAATTCCCTAACCCTAACCCAGCTCCCCTCCCCGGGCTCCTTTCCCAGCCCCGGGGTCGCTGTCCCACCAGGGGCTCTTTGGGAATGCCGTGCCCGTTCCCGGGGTCCTGCAGCTCCGGGACACGTGTGTGAGTGTGAGTGTGAGTGTGAGTGTGGAGGTTTCCATGGCGGGAGGGAATAATTCCACTCTGTTTTTGTCCCCCGAGGCTGCTCGGGGAGCTCCCGGCTGGCTCCCACAGCCTCATCCCTCTCCTTTCCAGACATTTCCTCTACCTCTCCTGTACTTCGGGAACCAGATCACAGGACTGTTCAGCACAAAGAAACTGAAGTAGGGAAGGGTTTCCCGCACGGGGAGGGTTTCGCCGTTCCTCGGGGCTTTCCAGGGTTGCCGGGGAGCCCTGCGGGCCCGGGGCTGTGCGCGGTGGGGCAGGAGCGCTCGGGGCCCTGCCTTCCCTTCCTTCCTTCCTTCCCTCCCTGCCCACGCCGGGATGTGCCACGTGCGTGTTCCCAAATGCTCCCCGCGGGCAGGGAGGGACACGGGGCTGGCCCTCGTCCCCGGGGTGGGCTCTGGGGGTGTCCCTGGGGTCCCCCATCCCTGCAGTCTCAGATCTAAGGGGGTGTGGGAGCAGTGCCATTCCCATAAGGGAATTCCCCCCTAAGGGCAGGGGCAGGCTGATCCCGTATCCCTGCTGTGATCCCATATCCCTGCTCTGATCCCATATCCCTGCTGCAATCCCATATCCCTGCTCTGATCCCACATGCCTGATGTGATCCCATATTCCTATTCTGATCCCACATCCCTGCTGCGATCACATATCCCTGCTCCGATCCCACATCCCTTCTCCCATCCCACATCCCTGCTCTGATCCCATATCCCTGCTGTGATCCCATATGCCTGCTCCGATCCAATATCCCTGCTGTGATCCCACATCCCTGCTCTGATCCCATATCCCTATTCTGATCCCGTATCCCTGCTGCAATCCCATATCCCTGCTGTGATCCCACATCCCTGCTGTGGTCCCACATCCCTGCTCCCATCCCACATCCCTGCTCCCATCCCATATCCCTATTCTGATCCCACATCCCTGCTCCCATCCCACATCCCGGCTCCCATCCCACATCCCTGCTGTGATCCCACATCCCTGCTCCCATCCCACATCCCCGCTCCGTGTGGGGCAGGGGCGCAGCCCCTCACGCTGCCCCTGTCCCGCAGCCTGCCCATGTTCACGGTGCTGCGGAGGTTTTCCATCCTGTTCACCATGTTTGCCGAGGGATTCTTGCTCAAGTGAGTGCTCCCAGCCCCGGGAGGGGACGGGAGGAGAGGAGGGGGTGGGTGCAGGAGCTGCTGGATCCCTTCCCGAGGGAGCTGGGAGAGGGATGTGGAGCTGG